TCGCATGGACGTCAACAGTAGGCTATATCGCTGCGCTAAATAGAAGGTCTCAAAATGAACCTTGTCTGCAAACCTCCTCAGGCGCATTCAAGTTGTTGAGCTTGTTATACCCACTGTGTGCTATGCTGTGTGCTATGTATTTGGAAGCTAGTCACCTCACCACTCTCACCACTCTCACCACTCTCACCACTCTCACCACTCTCACCACTCTCACCACTCTCACCACTCTCACCACTCTCACCACTCACCACTCACCACTCTCACCTTCTCATGTTGCCATGCTCTAGTATGGGCTCTTAACTCCCTGGTGGATTTTATCGTCCCATTTGTTTGCTTCTGTTGTGCATCAAAGCGCGATAGCTTGGGAAATCGAGTTAGCCACTACTAGAGTACAATCAGGTAAATCTTTCCGTATAGGAATAGCAGATTGATATCAAATGTAAGAAGGTATTACCTCCCATTGGCCAAGGTTCTCATTTTCGTCATCGTAGTTTTCATAACTAGCGGCTACGTAAAGTTCGTCATGGAGTAGGGGTATTGATATACAGTAAAGATAGAATCAGACGCCTAGAGACTTTCAGGCAGGAAACATGAGTCACGCACGATCATTTCTCCCTGGCCGCTTTGTTTTGATTCTGGACTGCCAAGAGAAATTAAAAGGAAAAACAAAGAGTGTCAATTTGGAACAAAAGAAGGCTATCTATCGGTTTAACATCTATCAATCTACTTATCAATTTATTGACTGGCAAATTCAAACCCCCAATTTAACGTTCACAGCCAAGACGAAAACAGGGCCTTAATGGGCAGCGACTGCTGCTCCTGGTCGTTGGCCAACTGAAGTATTGACCGAGCCTTGGGATTGCATATTCTGGGCAATTGTGTCCCGGTACAGGTCATACATGGCTTTGGCCACCGTAAGGCGTGATTCTCTCTGCATATCATCCAGATCATGCCATCCCTCCGCTTCCTCCCTTTCTGCAATGAATTCCGCTTCCGTGCGTATGGCTCTTTGGCCAATTGCGACGTTGGATTTGCTCTGCACGTTGTTGGTGTTCAAGCTCAAAGCAGCGCCGGAGGAAGCCGGATTGTGAGGCGCCTCGTCTACGTCGAGGTTGATTGGGTCGGTTGGCGACCCCTGTCCCGGATGCAAATTCTCAGTGGAGGAAGGGGGCGCTTCATGTTGGCCTGCAGTTGAGAGATGGATTGCAGGTGAATTGAGACGTTGTGTAGGCTGTCGCTCAGGTGATTGCCTCGCTGCTGAGCCCAGTGGGCAAGGGGTGGGGGACCGATCCTCATTGCCTCTTCCAGCGTCGCTCTGGAGCACGCGCAGATAGCGTTCTTCTTGTTTGTCCCAGACCTCTTTGATTTTTGCTTCTGCCGCCTGCTTGCTATTACAAAAGCGAACGAAATCAGATCTGGGAATCCAAGAACAAAGACCTTGCATTTTGTCGGTATCTTCCGACTTCAAGTTCTTCCATTTGATCTTCAGCCAAACACATGGATCAGACTTGTATGTTTTATTCGGATCTTTTCTTTCCTCCGACGCAACCCCGTATATTCCAACAACATTGTGTTTTGTATACCGCCAGCTTCTGTTCCCTGGACCATCTTTGAGCTGGGAGATCCGCAAAGTTCGATCGGAAATGTTGTTCATGTCGTCATTGGTATATCCGTTTCTGTATTTGGCTTTGTATCTGGCTCCATGGCGAGGTCCGTACTGGAGGATGACGAACGTTGATCGTCGAAGGGTTCCCCATCCATCCACAATCCCGTCGCCTTCCTCGTCATCGTTCGATGGATCGAGGCTGGCTAAAAGCTCTGGGTCTCTGGACTCGCTAGCACCTCGGGCTTCCGGTGACAGATCGGTTCGATTTTGTGGATGACCGGCCATAGAGGGGCGTTCATGAATATTCGAGCTTGACCCCTCTCCAGCCTGATGTACCGACCCAGCGTCATGCATCGGGGTGTCATCTCTCTCGATAGACTCTACCACTGAGCTATGTGATGGCAATGAAGAATTGGCTTGGTCAATTGGACCAATGTTGCTAGGCTGATCGTTATCGTGTATGTCTGACGAGTTGTCTGTTGGACGAGGTCCTTTCGAGAGATTCACCTGTTCAGCTGCGCTCTTGGTCTTTGCAGAAGATATCGAGTTTCTTTTTGCTAGTTCTTCCATTTCAACAAGCTTGGAATGGTTGTCCTTGGGAAGAGAGCTTTTCTTTACTCCACTGTTGGAGGCCATTTTGGGACCAGGCCTGATGCTTTCCGTGAAAAGCAAAGCATTTACGCGGTTGATGGCAGATATTTATGCATTTCAGATATCAAGTCAAACCGTACTCAGGACATAGGGCCGGGATATTGATAGTGAAATACAAGTAAATGCGTCGGCCTCTGATTTCAATTTTATTGGCATGATGGAAAGCGCAACTGAGCATGAAGTTGCGTTCTAGCCCGTTCAATCCCTGCCTTGGAATAAAGAGGCTAGATGGCACACGCTTTATGCGTCTCTGGTGAGGTCTAAAGTTCAGGCTTTAAGTATGATCGCTTCGTCTAACTGGAGGCAACCTCCTCGAAGTTCACTTTTGGAGCCGCCCTTCCTTCAAGCATTGAATCAAGCCAGCACTTTTGTGAGCAAGATTGAGCAATCAACGTATGAAATTTTTAGCATCCTTGTTACTCGTGTGAATGTCATTTGCGGTGACTTTCAGTAAGCTGTTGCTCGACGAACCCAATTGTTCTGACCTCAAGGACTCATTTATTGATTATGTTAGATAGGTTTCAAAATGAGCAATTGAATCAAGCAAAACGACGGTTTGCAAAATGCAAAGTTTACCTGCTTTTTTTTTTGGCCTGCAAGTGGTTAGACTCATACAGAACCAGGTGTGCATTTGGTTTTTGAAATGACCTCTTTTACTATTACTGACTTGACCCGGAACTTCATCTAACCTCACATAAATGCGCTTTGTTCCTGAGTAAGAGTGGCGCCATAGAGTGCCATTTAGTCGATATTCAATTTTCTGCTCATTCAGAGCTTCTGAACGAAGCCCTCTTTTACGTTAAACATGCAATTTTACGCCATTTGCCCTCAGACTAATGTTGCTCCTTGACTTCAAGACAGAACTATATGCTGAATACTGTATTGAGATTGGAAAGCTAAACAAGACTTAATTCTGCGTGACATTGTAAACGAGCGAGATATCAGGAAATACATAAAAATCCACATGCAGATTCAGACTGGGATTTCACGACTTGACTCCAGAAGGAAAAGGGATTCTGCAGTACCAAAGTCAGGGTTAAGACTAAAATGAAGGATAAAGGGAAAGAGCAATCCCATTTCCATAGCGATAGAGATGCCCTTCATAGCCCTAAAAGCTCTGATATCACGTATCAGACGTGATCGAGGCTCGCGAACGTCGGATATCCTCATCTTCCTTTCTGATCCGCTCCAATTTGTAGAATTTGTAAAGCGCGAGAAGTGCTGAACAGATCAGAAGAGTTGCTCCAGTAACAGCAGTTGTTATAATAGCCATTACCGACCAATTCCCACCTTGCGACGTACAGACGTTGACGACAGTGGTCAGCAGTCCGGCAGCAGCATGCAGGCATAGGGGACTAGTTCAGCGTTAGATTTGGATTTGGCTTCTCAAACCTCTCAAGTGGGATTTTCTCACTTACACAAACACTTTGTTAATCAGCCAGGGGTAGTTTCCCCTGAGCTTTGGGACGTGCATCAGCCACATGAGAGCTGCAGTGCCACTAGCAAAAAGGAAACACGCAATAGCGAGTAACGGGGGGTTCTGGATCATATGTAGAGCGGTACGGCCGGCCTTGTTGGTTTGCAACGTCTTTTCAACCTGGCTCGAAGTCTGCAGTGATGTGAACGTGCCGGGAACGACTAGATAGCCAGCAAGCAGCGCCCAGTTAGCCACACCAACCGTGATGCTGAAACGCATATCCATTTGTGCTTCTTCTCTGAGCATTCTGGCATACGTAGTTTCGTTGGCGTGATGGATCTGGTTGACTCGACACAGCCCCGTAGTTCCACTCGACGCTGAGCGCGATGGAAGAAGTGCGGGCTTCAATCCAAGAAAGGGAATCGTTTTCGATCCTATCTTAGCTGGCATACATGTATGGCTGCCCGCAACAGACGCCATGACCGAGAAAGTTAAGGGCTAATATGAAGAGAGCAAGTCCGACCAGGGAAATTGTGAGCACTTTGTATGGTCGGTAGTGAAAGCTTGCTACAGCTAGCTCGACAGGTTCTACTGTGAGAAAAGTCGCATTTTTCACTTGCGGTGAGCCATGCGTGATCTGATTTCAAAGCCAAAAACGAATGGCTTCAGCCAGAGCACGAAAGTTGCTGCGTACTTGATTTAAGCGGCCATCATCTACAAATTCACTGTCAGGAGGAATTTGAAGCTTGACATGTTTTCTGTTCAGATCGGATTCTGAGGCGGCACAAGAAAATGCCAAGTTTAATCTGGGTGTGGAGCCATCCTATAAAGTCCCCGGTAGACTCTTTCTTCTTAGATCTCCCAAGATATCTAATGGCTGCCTGGCTTGACCTCGTCAATGAGCATGAAGCATGGAATCTAGTTGATACCAACCGCCTCGAACAACTAGTGCAGGAATTGCCCTATCCGAAATGTCAATATCCCTCCCTGCTGTACTTTACTGGAAATTCAAACCGCATGAAGGCCTTACGGGCTCTATTTCCCTACAATAATATCACACGAAAAGGTCCTGGAGGATTAGTCCGTCTCCATCTTAGCACCAAAACCGCCCATACACAGAATCCTATATTATTTGCTGAAAGCAGTCTTTGCCTCGAGCAAAGCCTGGGCGATTCAAAATGGCTGAAGCATTCAATGACAAAACATCGAACCTTCTCAGTGGCGAGTGCAGAAGGGAAGTTGTCCTCCACAAAGCTACAGCAAGAAGTCAAGAGACAGTTTCTTTTGCCATGGAGCCAAATCCTGTGTTTGTTCCTCGATTCCACCTCAGACATCCAAGCCGCAAGAAACTTGTTGCAGCAACCACGTCGACAGCTGACCATTGGCGGTAAATTGATTCCATCTCCCATGCGGATAGCCATTGTTGTGACCAACGGCCAACAAGCAACCAAAACCTTCGTCCAGGAATGCGCACAGCTCCAAAGCCTGACCAAGACTGGAACAGTCACTGTTCTCGATCTGAGTCCACGTAGCGGACTGTCTAACAGTGTCGCTTTTGAGCCACTGCACACCTTGATCCTTGACCAGCTCAACGCGAGGCTCCCAGACAATTTTCCGTCCATTGTCAAGACAAAACAGTCGTAAACGTCCAGTCTGAAAAGCCTCTTGATCCGCGATGACAATATACGTCGCAAAGGTGACGTTCGGTGGAGGTTTCGCTAACTCTCCAGTCATCTTAACTAGACTCTCTCTCCATCCATGGAGGCATTCCTGATCCCTTGTTTGTAGACTTCTGGCGGACGATGCTCGAAAATGTTTTAGTTTACTCGGATCATCAGATCGTCGCTTGCGATCAACGTGACCAGCGACCTCAGGCATGATTTCGTATACCCGCTGCCAGTCTGGGCCAAAATTAAATAAGTACGGATCGTTGAGACATGCCCACCAGGCGTTTTCTTCGAACAGATCGTTTTTATGAATCCAGCCCTTAAGCTTGCCATCATCGTGTGGGTTATAATGGGTCCTAAGAAAAACAAGCACGTTATCCTTAGACATATAGTATGCTTTTCGACGCAGGTCGTTATCGGATCGCCAGGGTTTAAGAATGGTATCAATCTCCTCTGGCGTTAGCGTTCGCGGAAGGGACTCATCCAAAGAAACGTATTCTTCGGGAATCTCATCAAGTTCAAGAAACCGGTTAAGTAGTCGCCGCCGCTGCTGGCTAGGTGCGTCGGTCGCGGAGTGACTCCAATTTCTCTGTTGAGCTGTTAGCAAAGATAAATCGTAAATAAACAGGTGTATTGTATATCTCCTACAACCAAATATTGTTCTATGGGCAGCGAGCCCCATGGAGGAATCATTTCCCAAGAATGAGAGCAGTCATCGGCCATCGGTATGACTTTATTTGCTGTGTGCTTATAACGGTGATCACCGTCGATAGATGTCTCGAGTAGAAAAGCCTGAGCAAGGAGGGGCAGGTGTGAAGTACGATAGCAGCCGAGTTTTCAGATAAAACTATCCGACAAATGAGAGTGAGACGTATTTCATTCGGCCCAGTGATAGGCATGACGGTTGAATGACATCAATCCGCGTGATAAGGTTTTCAGTTAGAGTAAAGTATCCCGATGGCCTTGATACAGCATATTGGTATTCCCGGCCTATTCTTATTATAGACCAACGAGTCTTGGCATTAGGGTCAGAGAAATAATCAAAGAGTTTAGTGTGGGTGGTTGCATCAGTTTCGGGACGTTCTGTACCTCCACTCCTCGATAGCAATTGTGAATACGTTGATAACCCCATTCAATAGAACCTAGTTCACATATGTTCTCACAAGGCAGGGGTAAGTTCTGTGGACCTTGCCATAGAGGAATAGTAGCAGTAGCAATAGTAGCAGTAAAATGGAGACATAAGGGGCAGAAAACTATTAACACTGAAGACACGTATAAAATACGACCAACCAATTTAGCGTGTTTAGCAGCTTGTGTATCAGGCAGGCGGTAGAGGCGGTGAGAAAGTGGGTCATCCAGGCGTGTTAAAAGCGTAAGACCAGTCACCGTAGGTCGCAGAGTGCTATCGATTTTCCGGAGGTGACCGCCTTTGGATGAATCGAACTTGGTTCCGTCACTTTACTCTCTTAGGTTCTTTTTCTAACCCTATTTTGTACTCACCCCGTGTCGGACACAGCAAATTGAAAGAACCCAAATGCCTTGAAATAGAGCCGATCGGCGAGCCAGCCTAGACATGCAGCGCATTCAGTACTACATCTCTTTTCATATTGCAGGCCCAAAATGTGATTACACTTGTCCTTCCACGTCAATTACATAGTTTGAGGTGCGGAGACAGGTGAGTATAGAAACTAGAGATGCTAAAGCCACTCAACTATCAATTTGGGTTTCATCTGTGGGACGCTGGTTCCGGCGTACCTTTGACAACACGTTGGATATAAGCTTGGCATCCTCGCTATTGGCCCTTGAATGTATTTGCTGCTGCACGGCTTTATAATCTTGTACCTGAGAAAACAGCTGTTCAAGCTTTCTGTTGAAATTGTCAATGCAAGTAATACCAGTCCTTGCAGGAATATGACCTACTTCTGTGTGTCTTCTTGGTTATTTTCCCGATACCAACATTTCTTTTGAGAGGTCTTACAGCGCTGACATTCAGGACTCTCACCACTGCACCTTGCCTTCGTTAAATGGCAAGGGCCACATGCATTTGACACTCTCCTGTTCGACAACGCCGCTTTGTGTAATCTCGGGATACGTCTTTTGAAATTCACCGTTTGAGCGGTGACTGAGACACCTGGTTCAACGTCAGCGAACTCGGAGGGATTTAGTGACTCGGAGACAGGGGTGATGTCTGTCTTGGCGCTCTGAATAGGAGACTTGGCCATGCTTAGCGAGTCAAGTGACACGGTTTCTGATTCTTGGGTAGTGATCGAGGTGAGGTTCGTTCGCGACACCTCTACTTGCAGCTGAGACAGATGGGGATAGCCATGATCCCATATCGCTGAGCATGCCAACGATCTACTGAAATTATTTGGGGGCGTTGGCATACGTCCCGCACTCGGTCGCCTGATCTGGTAGTACGACGATGCCGTATGCGCGAAATGCAGACGAGGGAGTAATTCTGGCATGGGGTATGGTAATGGACTATTGTTGTCCAAAGCCTCCCGAATAGATGGAAGCGAATGTAGTGGTGTCTTATTGTCTTTGTCGTCCTCATTCTCCCGAAGCGACTCCGGTGATGAAATGTATCCAGTGTGTGGCGCATTTGTGGCTGGCGCATAGGAGTAGGTTGGGAGCGATTGTCCAAAGGACGTTGAGTTGGGATCCATGAGAGGGATGTAGGCAAATAATGTTTACCGGCTGACAATTTCTCCGTGAAGCTTGGGTTCACGGGGAGAACAATAGCAGCTTCTGGACTAACTATGTCAGCTTCACGGAGTACCAGTGCTCAACTTTCGCCGGTAATGAAAAAAACAGCAATAGATAACAACGTGAACTGAAGGGAGTAGAGAAGCATTTGCCTACCCGGGTAGCTCTTATGATGCCACTGCAGCCTTCTATTAAATATTGAAGGAGTGTAGGCGAAGGCTGCGTGTAACGGGTCGACCAAAATGCGAGAGAAGGGGCGATGGATTTTGCCGACCTGTTATCAGTTTTCCCTTTTGTTTGGCTTGTTTGCATGAAAGGTTCGGACCGATTCTACTAGGTTTCGTCAGCTTTGAATCCGTTCATATTGGCATTTACCACGTCCCTTTGTATAATTTTCCTTGACTTTATCCGGTGCTATGCTGTACCCGCGTATTGGCCATGTGCACCAAGTTTGACCAGAATATCCACAAGCTCTTTCTTGTTCCTAACGGCGAGCTCCTCGGTCACCCAGGCAGTGGACGAATTCGTCTCATCCAAGATGACAAGCATTCAGGAGCAGAATGTGTTAGGATTACCAATTGAGTGTTGGTGAGTTCATATATACCTGTGCCAGGATGCCAGCTGTATGTCTGTGGTATTGAAACCTTGGTGGGAGACTGGCACCCTGCCTTTCAGCCATTGCAATGGCACCACACAGTAAATTGTAATGACAGAAAAGCATTTATCTTCGGAGTTTGTCTGTTTCAGTGGGAATGGATAAACGGGCAAATAAAGTAGGTCGGCAGGCGTGGTGCAGTGCTATACGAAAGTTGAAAAGATATATCTGATGGGTAACAACTCGTTGAGACTTAGTAACATTACCAAAGGCCAAGGTAATGTCCCAGCTCTTCCGCGTTCATTGGCCGCTGATCCTTGTTCTTGCGAATCCCACGTTAGCCACCCGACCGCGACACTGTCTCAGGGCCGTGGCAGAAATCATACTCTAATACAATTTGAAATTCCTATAGAGCTCGCCTAGTCAAAAATGTGAATTCTAACTGACCCTACGACCAAAGAATATTGAGTTTAGCGAGTCCCTTTTTAGGCGGTGTTTCTGGCTCGAGGTCCTCCTGACAGAGGTAGAACTGGATCAGACCGACAATTGGAATATTCTCTAAGGCGATGATTCGCGTTCTCTTCCACAATTTGTAGCCGAGATATAGAGCCAGGACTATTGGAATATTGATGTATGCGGAGATAAAAATTTGAGTATCCCAGTGGCCGTGGATGAATGTGCTGAAACCACCAGTGAGAAGTAAAAGGATGAAGAACGTAAGCGAAGCCCAGGTGAAGTAGGGTTGAAAAGGGGCCGCCCATGGAAGCTCTCTGTAGCGGTCGATCCCTTGTTTCTTGCAACCGTAGTAGAATCGGAGGTATACGGTGCAGGTGATTCCCCAGTCGACTAAGGTGGAGATCGCTACAATATCGCGCAGCCATCCAAAGACCATGCTTGCTGAGTTAGAGAGGGACATATACCCCAAGCACATAAAGATCCCGAGGAGGCTAATAGCCACATAAGGGACGCTGAACCGGTTTAATCTTTTGAAAACCGAGGGAGCATGTCCATGGACTGCCATGCCAAAAAGAATCCGAGACCCAAAAAGGATATTTGAATTGCCAGCAGACCACGCCGAAGTAAGGATGACAGCATTAATGACTGAGGGTGCTGACTTGATCCCTGCACGGTGAGCGGCAATAACAAACGGGGATTGAGAAGCTGTGCCAGACAAATAAAGGAGTTTGGGATCATCAGAAGGAACAACTAAACCAACCATGAAGATTGACAGGACATAGAAGAGGAGGATGCGGAACAAGATGCGCTTGGTTGCTCTTGGTATTGCGTGCCTTGGAGATCTCGTCTCAGCTCCGGGAATAGTGATATTCTGTATTCCTGCGTATGCATAGATGCCATTATTCAGACTTGACCAGAAACCAAGAAACCGACCCAGAGAACCTTTGATACCCAGATATTGAACAAAAGGCCCTGGGTTTCTCCAGTATCTAAAGCCAATAGATTCACCACGTGGTCCTCCACCACATGTAATCACAAGCGCCATAAGGTTTACCCCGATGATCAGCAAAATCTTCAGGGTCGCGAATGCAAACTCGAGCTCCCCGTAGAATCTGACGAATACTAGCGCAGTAGCGAGCACCAATATGCTGAAGACAGTAATCCATATTGCGTTGTTAACGGTAATCCAAAATTCAATCAAGACCGAGGCTGCCACGATCTCAGCAGGAATAGCCACCAAGTATAAGTACACTTGATTCCATCCGTTCGCAAAAGATATCGCAGGGTCGAAGAAGAATTCTGCATAACGGATGAGACCTCCACTGAGAGGCACTAGAGCACCCATCTCCCCAACCACAAGGACGACACCAGACACAGCGAGGCCAACCATAGTATATCCAAGGAAGGCACCTAAGGGGCCTGCTGTTGCAATTGCTTGGCCAGAGCCAAGGAATAGACCTGTGCCAATTGTGCCAGCTAAAGCAATCATCTGAATGTGCCGCTGGTGAAGACCTTGCCTGACAGCATATACTTCTCTGAAGCCGCGCTCAATGCTTTCCATGTCACCATCAGGTACTGTAGAGCCTGCTTCTTCTGTAAGAGGAAATCCCGATTCTGTTTGAGTTGGCATAATTGCAGAGAGTTGCTCAACAGAAAGTGGATACGGGCCAAAGAAGTCGTCTCCGTGAGCTAAGATGGAAGAGAAGGGTTTTCTTCGGATGACGTAAAGAAGTGTGACCATATGGCCGGCCAATCAAGGTTGCCTTGGTGGTTCGCAATCATTTAAGGTTTTCCTTGGCGTCTAGGCTATTCGGAACCGGGGCTGCACCGACGGTCAAGCTCATCTTGCGGAACGCCAAAGGCAGTGTGTCTAGGAGCTTTCGAGAGCCAAGACACTTCTCGAATTACAATCGAATCGAATGGTGTGTGGCGCTCACGATTCGAGGTTGTCGGGCTGGGAGTTGTTGGGTTTGCTCTTGCCGCGGTTAGAACTCTTCAAATAAGCATCCAATACCCCAACACGTTCGACTCAAATATCTTCAGGATGTAGTAGTCTCTTGCCTTCCATCTACGGGCGCTTCGGGACTCGGCTGTTACTCGTCATGAAGAAAAGCAAAAAAGTCAATCGAACCTTCCTACGCATGCTCCGACAACAAGTTTGGCCTAAAGAATAACTTGACTCGTTGTCGCACGGGATAGTCAGTATGCCGGCATCCAAAAAGTGAGGCATTCAATGTGCCACATGCTCGCATAGCTCCCCAGGAATGACTACGGAAGTAATAAGGAAAAAGGCACGACGGGTGCGACAGCGTGCTGACTGTACCAGGAAGGGTGGAACCTGTCAATCGATCAATCAATCAATCAATATTCAATTAACCTGATGCAGTCTAACTAGCTGTGTAATGACTACGAAGGCGCTTCATTCCAACTGAAGCAAGAACTCGAGGCTAAACGCCCGAGATGAGATCACAAGATATTCCCAAAGAGGAAACAGAGCCTGATTCGAAAAGATTGCGGAATCAGTCCATTCCTGTAGATCCTTCCAATCCCATAAATCCCGTAATAACTAGACGGCCAGTCATTAGGGCGCTTTCCGTGTATCCAAACACAGGTTGAGACTATCCTGTTAGAGTGATATATGGAAAAGCTTGGCTTCCATGCCAGTGCTGCTACTCTACCTCAATTTTCGCACGGTGCAGCCGCCTCGCTACCTACTTAATCCTTTGCTTAGAATGACCTGTTAAACCAAGACGAGTTTCTATTACTGTAATTTTGTAACAAAAAAAAAATCGATAGCCCACTGTAAATTACGCGAAATAATCATACAGTTGTCTGTCCGCGCACTGCCTTCCTACGTGCGCACTGCCTTCCTCGCTACGTACGCACTTTCCGTTATTCGCACCCTTGTTCTATGACGTCTCGCCACGTAACATGCAGCGTCCACCTTTGCTCTCTAGGTGTTATTATTGTCCAGGGATAAGCACAATACTAATTACTAAGATCAGTCCAATAGCTAGACCAATATCCCAATATCTTACTCCCAGCGTATCAGGTGCGGACGACGGTGGATCATTCAGTCAGAATTTTTGGATTCTGATTGACACAGCAGCGTCTCAATTACCCCCATGTGCTCTTACTCTAGCGCCCATGACAGCGGCGTCTCTCCGCTGAGGTCCTTAGATTCTGGGTCGACGCCTTCCATCGCAAGTAGCAACTTGGTCACTATTTCATGCCCTTTCCCTGCCGCTAACGAGAGTGGTTTCCGTCCATCGTAATCTTTGGCGTCGGGGTCAACACCATCTGCTGCGAATAAGAGCTTCACCACCGTATCATGTCCGTTGCCTGCCGCCCATGATAGTGGTGTCTCCCCTTTAGAGTTTCTGGGATCTGGGTCGACATCTATCGCTAATAGTAGCGTGACCACTGCTTCCTGTCCGTTGCCAGCTGCCAATGATAGCGGCGTTTCTCCGAAAAGTTCTTTGATATTGAGTCGACGCCCTCGGTGGAAAGCAGCAGCTTGACCACCATCGCGTGTCCCCTCCATGCCGCCAATGACAATTGGGTCTATCCTCTAGAGCATTTGGAGTCAGGATCGACGCCCTCTGTCGCGAGGAGTAGCTTGACCACTGCCTCATGTTCATTCCATGCTGCCAATGATAGCGGTGTCCAATTGTTTTCTGACCGACATTGAACATTGGCTCCTTCGGCCAGCGATCTTCTGGCTGTCGGCTCTTGGCCGCGTGTTGCAGCCCACAAAAGTGTTGAACTTGCGTGGTGTTTCACATTATACCTATAAAGATAGCGGTCGAGGTTATTGTACAGTACCACCATACTTGGTTTTATAGCTTCCCATTGCGAGCCTTAAAACACGAATAGGCCTTATATGAATGTGCGACCCTATTAGTTGAATAGCAGCGAACCAGGCAAAGGTTTGCTTTCACGGTTGCGAAACGGTAGCTATGCCTCCAAGTCGCCTTTTCTGTAAGATCTCTACGTAATGGTCCCACGTTGTTAAGATGGTAGCACGGATTCATGGATTCACAGCATAACTGCAGTCAACGTCGACGTGTCAAGTCAATCAGGGAGTTTATTTGACTCTGACACGGACGTTAACTACCGGAGATGTTCCTTCGTTGGAGTGACTGATGATAACGGTTCGGTGACGTCAATCCCGGCAATTTCCGCCTTCGCCTCATGTTTCGGCTGTTAAATAGTGGGTGTTTCGACGCAAGAAAAGTTGTTTTTTTTTTTTTTTTTTTTTCGGGTTTGAAGAATTTTCTCGTCTGTTGATATAATGGCCCAGCATCGATCACAGGTTAGAGCCAAGCGCACAGCCGAAAATACCGAGGCTTGGATCTTTGGAAGTGGAACTGAATCCTTAGCGTCAGCGCTATATTTGATTAAAGACGCCAAGATACATCCGTCCAAAATCCACATTATAGACAAGCACCTGTTCTCTGAGCGCATCCCACACCACGCTGGTAGTTCCTCGGGCGGATACGATCAATTTGCCGAATGCTTGCCCGTTCCGGCAGGCTTACCAATGGAAAGGCTTCTCGCAATGCTTCCCTCAGCCCAGTTGCAAGGGCCATCCCTTTTGGACGACATAAAAAGAGCTGAAGAAAGTCGGATCTCTGCGAAGAAAAATGTTCGAACCTGCTTTCTCGCCCTTGCCAAAGGCTCAGTGAGTCACGTACCAACCGATTCACTACATTTGAATCACAAGCAGCGAATGGCTTTGATACACATTCTATTCAAGCGCGAAAAATATTTATTGCACAGACAAGTCCAGGAGCTTTTCTCAGAAAGCTTTTTCAGATGTCCCTTCTGGGCAATTTGGTCCGCTCAGTACGTATCCACGCTATCCTGCATTGCTTACCTACACCATTTCTAACATTCATCAGATTTGGCTTTCAACCATGGCACAGTGCGGCAGAGTTCAGGCGCTCCTTACGCCAATATCTGCCTCAGTTTCACAGTTTAAGTATTCTAAGCTGCCTCGACATCACAGGCTATTATCAATATGAGTCTTTGTACCTGCCGGTATACTTTTATCTTCAAAGCCGTGGTGTTGATTTTCGGTTTGGTGTCGAAGTCAAGGATATGGAAGTGACCAACGACAACGCCGAACAAGGAGTTACTGGATTTAATCTCGTCCAAGGCAACCTGGAACTGCGCAAGCAACTAGGGGAGAACGATATCGTCATTATTAATCTTGGATCCACTATCTCGGGTTCAGCCGTTGGCACAAATGATTCTGCGCCAGTGTGGCAATCACTCAATGCGGACGATGTGTTAGATCAAAATTGGTCGGTATGGTTGGACCTGGGAAATAAGCACACGCGCTTTGGCAATCCGTATAACTTTTGCACACGCCAGTCAGAATCTATGTTGATATCCTTCACCATCACGACACAAGATGTTGTGTTCTACGATGATCTCATATCACTTTCCAATTGCACATCTGAAGCCGGAGCATTCTTATTTCTCGATGACAGTAATTGGAAGATCAACCTCTGCATACCCGCTCAACCGGTTTTTGCTGCGCAGCCGCAAGATGTCCGCGTTCTTTGGGGTTTTGCGCGTTTTCCGGGAGTCGAAGGCAATTACGTGAAGAGGACAATGCTCCACTGTTCAGGTGCGGATATAACGACTGAGGTATTGGGACACCTCAATCTTCACTATAACTCGCCGTTAGCACACACTGTCACCATTCCCCGTGCGATGCCCCGGATGAGTTCATTGTTTCTGACCAGGGCATTAGGCGACCGTCCATCAATTACGCCGGTCTCCAATGTTGGTTTGGTGGGGCCTTTTACAGAATTTCCGCGTTATACATGCGCAGACGTCAGTTACGGCATCCGCACTGCCCAAATGGCGGTCTATAAGTTAATGGGCATGGAAGGAGACGTGAATGATTCTTTGAAATCAAAAACCTCGGTTATCAAGAAAATTCTGTTTTGGAGATAGCATTGGTGCATCAGCTGCGTCACTGACATACCAAGAGATCGATGTATGGAAAATGATTTATAAAGATTCCCGTATGCTTAGCACAGACGCATTCTAAGAGTTCAGGTCCTGTTGTGGGAAACTACAAGGTTATATTGTGCTTGACTTTCTTCAAAATTTGATTGATTGGTTATTTCTTGTCGTCGCACCTTCTTTAAGGTAAGACTTTCAAGTCTTCGCATGTGGCACTCTCACTAGAATAAAGATGTAGAACTTCTCTTCTAGGTTTGCAGGGAGACTCACAACCGCATGGAGGCAATCAACTTCCAATTCACTTGATTGTAAGTCGGTCCAAATCCACGGAAATATACCGACTAACATGGCATTTCTGACCATCTAACACAAAACTGCTTCTTTGATCGGCTGGCATTGGTGACATAGTGGTCCTGGTGGGAATCTCATTCTCACATGCACTTTCTAGCTTGTCAGTCCACAACGTAATTACAGTATAGATGTTCAGTACCCTGGAAATCCAGTAGGTCAAAGGGAAGAACTTATCAGGTGCCTCGAACCGACGGCCTGCTCGACTTTGCGAAGCAAGTGACATGTGTTGTGGAACAAATTGCTGGGGGGAGAGGGCGAATTTATAGGTTTCTCGGCTCCTGTCGCGTACGTGCTCTTTTATGGAGCAAACGTTCAAGGACACACCACGCTATCCTACGTGAGGTCTGTTGCAATTCATGCCTTCGTTCTACCGCAACTATTTACAACGAAATTTCTGGTGTCATGTTAGATGCCCACCGAGAAAAAAATGCTAGAGTCTAGTTGAGAATGAGTCAAAGTGAGTCGGTTAAGAAATGTTGGTTGTCTGAGCTGTGTGTGGTTCTGTCTGTCTAGGCTGCAAGAAGCGTCAGGCTGCGGTCGTGCGGGCGCGGGTATTCAACCGGTCAACCCGTTGAGGCTTGGTCGTCCTGGTTGACGGGAGTCAACTTTTGAACTTGTGATCATGGTTGAGATAGATACCTGGTTTTTACAGTTTTCTTTTTCGGTCCTCTAGATTTTACTCTATTTACGTTTGTATTTCAGAGCTCTCCAACGAATGTGGAAAATGCGTTGTGACTGAATATATATCTCCTGGACCGTTCATCACCAGTAAGCCACTAATATGAGGCACATTCACGAACCATCAACACCACGAGATTGATCACCAGCACCGTCATTAAACGGACTGCTAACAGAGTGCTGAGATTGGAAAGCTGACTGCGCTGATTGACTTTCATGGTGAAAATCAGACTGAGTACCTAGCCACCGGTGTCTTCTAGTCTATAAAAACCTCCAAGAATTAGTGGACTTGCTATTGCCCAGATACTCGACTTTCCCCTGTGATCAAGATGGATGCCCCTAACAGCACCCCAGACCAGGAAAAAGAAGGGGAACAACAGCCCAGTGCATTGCCAATCGTTTCTGAAAAAGAGAATTCGCAGGAGGCTTCTGATCATGTCCCTCCACAGGTAAGTAAAGCGGCTCAGCTTCCAATGCTGTTGCTGACCATCGCAGCTCTCTCTTTCGCCACAGGAAGCAGAAACAAGACATACCTTGGCGGCCGAGCCATTCTAACCTATTCTGAAGGTGCTAGCAGACCTCGAACGCGACGATCCCAAGTCCGCCTTTCCCGCGGCTCGACTTGTCGGACTGTATCGACGCCTATGGGAATCGTGCGTGTCCAAACACATCGATGGTCAGAACCTAGAGCAGAGCAATCAGATCTTGAAGGAGGCTAGCAGACACCTGACTAAAGAGAGGGATGGACTTCAGCTGCGCCACGACAAGCAGCTGTCTCGGCTGCGCTTCTTTGAGCAGGCACTGGAATCGTCTCGGGGTCGACTGACTAGGATCCTCGATGACTGGGATCACCCTTGCAAACTCAATCTACCAGGGTTCTTGGACAACGCAACAGAAGAGTGAAGCATTGCATGTTCATATTTGTTCTATGTCTTACTTTACTTGGAGATAATACGACAGAGTCGTAATTGAAAGAGAATTACCGCATGGAAAGCATTCCATAACTTTTGCAAGTATTTACAATAAGATGGGCATGAATAGCCGTCGTGGAATGCGGTAGAGGCTCCATACTAGGCCATAGGGTCATGCGGAAGCTAATGGCTATTGCAGTTTCTGAAGAGAATATGATGAGCTAAATAAATCAGTGTAGAGTTTGTAAGAACATACAGGGAATGTACTGTAACCTTGAGGATGAGCATTCTCAACAGACACGGGCAGGGTAATGGATGATAAAGCACGGTCGGAGTCACTGGCGATAATAATTTCACCAAATGACGCCTAGTTTAAAAATAGAAATAAACAGATGCTCTGCAGGCTATATAAGGGGACACAGCGGAAGAACAGTTCTTTTCGTCTGCTTGGTTTTTTGAGGGCAGAATACCAGCGAGGTTTGGGAGGGCTGGTAAATGGGGCGAGCCTACCACCCACGAAATGGCACCGCCCTTATTTTATCCCGGCTGATGTTAGCTTAAATGATCAACATTCGACAAGCGGAGCTATACAGACAAACTCAAGTACTTGCTGGCTCATAAGAACACGATTGTCGTGAGAGTCGAGAGCCATTTAACCACCTTTTCATAGCTCCAGGTATTGTTCTCGTCCAGGACAGATGAATCTAACCCGGAAACATCAACACCCCTGCCCCAGCGGAGTTCAACCCGCTATTTTCCATTAGGAAAAAAAATATAAAAAATAAAAAATAAAAAATAAGACCTCCGCAGGAAGATTCGGCTGGGTAAAGAATGCGGTGCTGTGCCAACCTCACTGATAGGTGATCTTTGTCGATCTTCGCAGTCCGAAGGACATAAAAGCCAAAGCCCTCCTCTACAGGAACATGGATATAACAGGGTGATCCTGCCTTCCAGCATGATAACCTGTACGGCTCTGTCGCTGCTACCTGGCACAATCATCTAGTGGCTTACCGCTACCTCCAGCGATAGGATAGACACCTTTTCGTGGTGCTGGGGATCATTACTAAAACGAGTTATCGTTTCAGGAAGCTAAGATCTGTCCTTGGAAAAGGCATTTGCCTTCACCTGCTAGCTTGATTCTTGTTCAAGTATTTATTGGCTAAGCCAACGTCTGCGATACGGACACGGTTCTAGATACAGTAGATTCGAACTTCATAATAATACTGGATTCATTGCCCCTGGATATTCGGGTGTTTAGGCGTCACGGCGGTGGCCAGCTACAATTTGCCATCAAATGCGACTTGCGCTGTCGGTCTTGTGGAATCCATCGGTGAGTAAGAATCCCAAATATGACCATATAGACCACATTGTCAGGTCAGTCCGGTGGAATGAGTATGTGTATTATAATTCATTTCTCAGAAATGAGTCGACCAGAAATTTCTTTAGTGACCTTCAATTACCAGTCCCGAGCACTTTCATTCCGGAAATCCTACTTTTTCGCTTACCGGCCACTTTGGATATTTCCCGTTTAATCCTGGCAAGACTTTGAGGCTGGTTACTCAGACAGATCAAGCATCCGCCTCGCGTGACCAGTATATCTTTTCTTTTTCAGCTCTATAAAACAGACCGTCGACCAGTCTCATGCCATCCCCTAAGCTAATACGTTCAAACTGCTATCAAATATCGTAATCAGTAAGATAGGGCTTTATTACCATGCTCAATGGTCGGAAAGGAACACGCCTCGCTAGGAAGATGCATGAGACATGGTGGAATTCAAGCTGACCATAGAGATGTCTAAAGCCCTGGTAGTGCCACATAGAGAAGCAGTCTCCACCAGTCAGTGGACCTCGCCAAAACCGTGGGTTGGGTTTCGACCCTTGACCCAAAACCCGCCAAGAACTTTGAATACACGTAATATATACCATATTACAGTACTGTCTGTATTACGTTTGCTATTCCGTAATATACGGGCTCATGGCTTCTTGGCGGGTATAAATTGAGTACATACGACCATAGGGTGTTGAGAACAGGGCTTCTCGTCCGCTCAGCCGTACTTAAGCGACAGATAGTGCACACCTGATTCTCATTGCGCCCTGGGCTTTAGAATGGCGTCGCATTTGATCTTATGGTGAGTGCGGGCGATATATGGGCAGGAAGCCTGGAAACTGAGGTGATAGAAGTGAGAACGGGGTGAGAGCAACGTGACATTACGTAGATCACCCGCTCTCCCACTTTCGCTCAAGCCTTGGCTATACACCTAAGCTCTAGGGCGTCTTTCTGGATTAATGTTCTTGATCTTTAATTCTTGTCAGCCTGTATGGATAATTCTGATTTTCTTGTATGACTCGCGACGGGCAGCGCCGCGCCGACCCAGTCAAGTATTCGGATGCGTTAGTCTGAGATGGGCTAATCATTGGTTATGGTGTAATTAGTCTATATTCCCGGCGTATCGCTTTGATTGCACCTTACAAATAGTTCGACCAGGCCCAGAAAAAAAGGAAAAAAAAAAAAAAAAAAAAAAAAATTCGCGCTAAGTGCTTTTTTAGTGTCTTCGTTCAGCACCAAGTATTCCTATTCTGTTCTATATCTAAAAGACTAGCCTGACTCTCACTTCCATGTATACGCAAGCGGCTTGTCTGCACTTCCACCTCCCCCCAGCCATCCTTAAAACAGCTTGTGCTGGCGAATGAACTCCGACCAGCACTGAAGATTCAGTCCGGGAATCTGGCACGGTCAGCTGATGTACTGTTAGTCGAGGAGAACGGATGGGTTGACCTACATCCTTGGCTTGCACAAACTCTTCGCGTGCGTAGACATTTCCGCAGGATTCGAAAATCAGCAACTGCTCAGTGAAGTCCAATGCAATATCCTCCGACATGCCGTCACGAGTCATGAGCAGCTGCTGAAATTCACTGGCGCTGGAGGTTTGATAGCGAGTGGGAACGTGATAGTCTGATACCGGTATTAGCATGATGAACCACTACCCTACAAGGGTACCTTACAGGAGCCCATCTCAGCGAGCTTTTCGGCCTCGGACAACGCCTGAGCCCAGAAGGCGATGGTCATGGCGAAATAGGTAGAGCCAGCTTCGAGGACCAGATGCACCAGCTTGTCCGTATCACGAATTGCCACATTAGGCAGAACCGTCTGAGGGCTGTGCGGGAACTTGAGAGTGTACGTGCCTTTGGCGTCCTAAATCGCGATTTTGGTGAGTATTCAATTGATATTTTATCGGCAGGATAGCTCACTTTGATGGGCAGGTAGCGCTGAGGATCGGTCAAAGTGTTCTCAAAGTAATTGGGGAAGAGAATGGTAGTCGTCTTTGCCCAGAGGTCCGGTTTCTGGGTCTGGATATACTCAGTAATCAAGCTCTTACCCTTCCAGTGATGCACATTCAGATATTTGCCGTCGGATAAGGCGACGGGGTCTGGCAAAGCGCTCCAGAAGAAGTGCTGCAACGCCGCTATGCCAGCAGCAGCATCCACAATCGCCTTGCCCTGCTCAATCTCTGCTGCAGCAGACTGCTTCTGCCAGAAGTCAGTCAGTGCATAGATCACATCCGCACCAGCAAAGGCCGCAGTCAGAGCTTCTCTGTCACCCTCCAGGTCTGCACGACAGAGTTCAACTCCCTGAGCAGCGAGCTGCTGAGCCTTGGGCTTGGAAGGATCACGGGTGATGGCCCGGATATGATATAGATGCGGGTGCTTCAAGAGCTCCGTAACCACAGATCCGCCCTATAAACACAAGGTCAGCGACCTGCACCGCCCCAATGACGTGCGGATGTGGGAGGACTTGCCTGAGAGCCAGTGGCACCGATCACCACGACATTTCTCCTGGTAACCGTCATTGTCTTTGCAATTTAGTTTAGCCTTGGAGGGGTTGCTGTGAGGGGATTAATTCAACTACGGGATACGCGACGCTGGAGACTTATATAGGGCAGTATATGAGAACCCCAAGGGACGCTATATGCAATTGTTACCGCTGAGTCAGCGGTAGGCGTGCAAATGATCGACATAAACCTGATGCTAATCCGATGCTCCGGACTCTTCGCCTGAATCCAACTGGGCCATGGAGCCAATAGGTCAAAGGTCCCAGCGGATTCGGCCCGCCGACTTTAACGAATAACGACAATAGATCCCTGTCGATTATCAAGCTGAAGAGCTCGGTGTATCTCGGCAGTTTATCTCCTGCCGACGGTGACGGTGATTAGCTTCGACGAGCTGCGTTGGTGGAGCTTTGGCGGCGAATCATGCCGCTACCATGTTCGCCTCTCTGTTCCGAGGCTTGTTTGGTTCAGCTCTACCTTTGTTCTAATTTCCCTCGGTCCCGATCGGTAGATGCGGAACCCGAGACTCATTGACGTAGTGTGGGTCTTCCCCTGTGGAACCGGTATCTATTACAATATAAATTCGGACATTTCGGACGGCAAGAGTTGACTACACTAATGACTGCTCGAGTTCGAGGATTGTGAAATTGCTGAATTTGCGTATTTGACATATTTCAAGATGGGCCGTGTTGTTCTTGTCACCGGGGCTAATCGAGGTGAGCGGGAACTCTCCTCCCACCGTGGTACGCCATGTGGCTGACTCAACTTGTAGGCATCGGAAGAGGACTCGTGGCACATTATCTTGCTCGGCCAGACATGACTGTCATTGGTGCTGCTCGGGATGTGTCCTCTGCGAATGCGAAGGAGCTCAATGAGCTGTCAAAGGGCGAAGGCTCCCACCTGATCCTAGTGCCGCTGAGTGCGGACAGCCCAATGGGTGCGACAGAAGCTGTATTGGAAATCCAGAAGCAGCATCTTGTTGGGCATATTGACATCGTCATTGCCAATGCCGGTATTTGTAACCACTACGGACCGGTAGAAGAAATGACCGACTCCGACGTGCTGTCTCACTTTGAAGTGAATACTCTGGGACCGCTTAGACTGTTCCGAGCTATTGCACCGTTGCTGCGGAAAGCCAGCGTTCCCAAGTTTGCTTATATCTCTACGGCCCTGGCGAGCATTCATATGATCGAACAGATTCCCTCGTTGACCGCTGCTTATGGAATGTCAAAAGTGGCTGGAAACTATCTGGTAAAGAAGATGGATGCGGAGAATAAGGACTTGATCACTTTGTCCATTGATCCAGGGTATTTTTGTCTTCGTATTTCCATTTCTAAGGAGACAAGAAATGCTGACGACGAAATTCTCGTTTCTCGATGAATAGAATGGTACAAACAGACATGGGCAGTCGTGCGGCACAAGCCAATGGGCTAGAGAAGGCCCCGATGACCCTCCAGGAAACCGTTCAGGGGATCACCCATCAGGTATGCAGGAATTTGGCTACCAGGATTAGCTGCAGGTTGCTGACGTCGTTGCAGATTGAGGTAGCGACGAAGTCGACTACGTCTGGTCAATTTGTGAAATATAACGGGGAGAAGGTCTATTGGTAAACGAGGGGTTAGGAACATAAGATCCCTATATAGCTGGAGTTTATATATTGCTTTCATGCAACATATTACACGGCATGGACTTCGTTCTTCATATCTCATACCTACAGAGGAGGATTTTTCCCCAGTACCCTACCCCTCGAAAGATTGAACTGGTAGATTAAGCAGCAAGGCGGAGAATCTTTGGGACTCTCATTTCTAATGGTCTAAACATATCTTCAGTGCATCATAATATAAATACATGTCAACATACTTGGATGATCACAAGGTGAATCACTAGACTAGATATTAGGCACGAAGTGAACGCTATAATCATTTAATAGAAGACGTTTCTGTCCCATGTTGCACTATCCTTGGAACATAGTTGGGAACAAATCCAGTTGTACAATAGCATGCGCCATTTCAAGGGATCCATACATCAACTTCAAACTCCACGAGATGCTCGGGAAAAGGCAGGCTTTCAATTCCCACCATGGTGAATAACGGCTGGTGGCGGGGACACCACTTCTTGATGTAGTGAACCATATTTTCCCGTGCCACTTCACGCGTTTCGGACAATCCTACAAAGAACGCACGTAGCTTGACCACGTAATCCCATCCAGAATCAACCTCCTTAATCGCATGACCTTCTTTGATGAGAGTGTGGATAATCAGATCATCAATGTTTTTGAAGGCCTGCGCAATTTGCTCCTCGATTTTGGGAGAGGTTTCCCTAGTCAAAGGATTAATGCCCGCTTAGGAATATAATTAGCCCTAGGTCCTCAGACACGGCGCCGGTAAACTGCTTACTCTGCCCGGTGACGACTAGCCGATTGCCGATCAGGCATGCATCGCTAAACCCGTATTTCTCGCGGCAGTCTACTCCAAAGCCAGGAAGCGCGTGGTACCTCAAGGAAGCCATGTTGCAGGTTGCAAAGTTGTAGAATTCTACATTTCAAAGATGAGCGACCGGCATACCAGGTATAAATATACCGTAATTGTTCTGTAAGACGCGGGTTGCCCGCTTTGTCAGCGGAAATGGTTGTTATATACTGCCACAAGCGGAGCATGTCTCCATCACCTAGTTCCACTGGGAGCGCCAGGACCCGCATAATCCATGGTCTCATCCCGTTGCCACTTTCGGGCCAAACGAAGAAGAAGTGAATCTGTAGCGATGAGTCATTGATGATGTGCATAAAAATATCTTAAAAAATGAGTAAAGGAAATTTAATGGTCTCAGGTCACTTTATCTACGTCAGCCGATTATCTCGGTTAAAAAGCCTCTTCAACTGTTAGCTTTGCTCCCGCTTTACCTTGCGTTGAACAACCTACTGCGTGCAATCATGGAGCATATCAAGCAATCATTCGCTAGAGCGTGGCATCAGAACCGTGCTGCCCTGGGCGCATATGTTACCGCTGGGTATCCGACAGTGGAGGAGACGCCAGATATTTTACTCAGTCTTGAGAGCGGCGGTGCAGGTGCGTATATATCTATATATCATGACGAATGAGTGATTTTATACCATCTGACGCTCTATAAATTAATAGATATGATCGAGCTGGGAATGCCGTTCTCAGACCCTATTGCAGACGGCCCTGTTATCCAAGAGGCCAATGTTATCGCTCTCGCCAATGGTGTCAACTTGTCGGAGTTATTGGACATGGTGCGAGAAGCAAGACGACGGGGATTACGGATACCAGTCCTGCTGATGGGGAACTATAATCCAGTCCTTCGCTACGGCGAGGAGAAGCTGTTGCACGACTGCAAGCAGGCAGGTGTCCAGGGGTTCGTCCTGGTTGACCTCCCCATTGAGGAAGCCGTTCGGTTCAGAAGACTATGTGTCAGCAATGGGTTCGTTTAGGATTGTCTTCCTTTTACATTTATGAGCTAAAGATTATTAGGCTTTCTTACATCCCCCTCATTGCTCCATCTACATCCATCCCTCGCATGAAAGCACTGTGCAGCATAGCCGATTCATTCATCTACGCTGTTTCCAGATTGGGTGTGACAGGTGCCTCCCAGTCACTAAGCGCCAATCTTCCTGAGTTTCTTAGCCGTATCCACAAGTATGCCCGCGGTACGCCAGTTGCTCTCGGCTTTGGCATCAGTACACGAGAACACTTCCTATCCGTGCAAGCCTTGACTGAAGGCTGTATCATTGGCAGCCAGATTATCAATACTATCGGCACTGCGCCACCCGGTCAAGCTGCTCAATGCGTGGAGAAGTACCTATCTGGTATCACCGGGCGCAAGCTCAAGAGGGATGAGAATGGGGCGATTCTACGCGAGGTTACTGTGTTAGAATCTCCCGTACCTGCTGTAATGTGTCTTGCAATGACTTCAGAGGACGCGCGTTTGGATACCACAGATCTCACAGACGGGCAGGGTCCCGTTGCTTCCATGCGTTTTGGTGAATTTGGGGGCCAATACGTGTCAGAATCGTTGATGGGCTGTTTATCTGAATTAGACCAAGAATTTGAAGCGGCACGACACGACCGGGCCTTCTGGGAAGAATACCGCTCTTACTACCCTTATATGGGCCGGCCGAGCAGTCTATATTTTGCTGCACGCCTTACTGAAATGACTGGCGGGGCAAATATTTGGATCAAACGGGAAGATCTCAATCACACCGGGAGCCACAAAATCAACAATGCCCTAGGCCAAATCCTCCTAGCTCGACGATTAGGAAAGAGACGAATCATCGCCGAAACGGGCGCGGGCCAGCACGGCGTGGCCACTGCTACAGTTTGCGCCAAATTTGGAATGGAATGTGTTGTGTACATGGGCGCTGAAGATGTTCGTCGTCAAGCGCTGAATGTGTTCCGGATGAAGCTTCTCGGGGCTAAAGTGGTATCGGCCACATCTGGTAGTCGAACGCTCCGTGATGCTGTGAATGAAGCGTTGCGTGCATGGGTGAAAGATGTCGAAACCACTCATTATATTCTCGGTTCGGTTGTTGGCCCTCACCCTTTCCCTACGATTGTGCGCACTTTCCAGTCCATCATTGGGCAAGAAACGAAAGAACAGATGCGACATGCTATTGGAAAGCTTCCTGACGCCGTTGTAGCCTGCGTCGGAGGAGGGAGCAATGCATCAGGAATGTTTTATCCTTTCCTAGATGAGACAGGTGTCCAGATGTTGGGCGTCGAAGCTGCTGGTGATGGGCTCAATACATCTCGCCATTCAGCGACCCTCTCCGGTGGCAGTAAGGGTGTCCTTCACGGAGTATACACCTACCTACTACAAGATGAATACGGGCAGATTTCGGGGACGCACTCTGTCTCTGCTGGTATGGACTATCCAGCTGTGGGACCTGAACTCAGCTCCTGGAAGGACAGTGGGAGGGCCCGATTCATTGCTGCCACCGATGCCCAAGCCCTGGCTGGATTCCACGCTCTGGCAGAATATGAAGGTATTATTCCTGCGCTTGAGTCATCTCACGCCGTATATGGGGCCATTGAACTCGCCAAGACGATGAAGAAAGACGAACAGAATATTGTTCTCAACCTTAGCGGACGAGGTGACAAGGATGTCAACACTGTTGCTGTGGCCCTGCCTCGTCTGGGACCTGAGATCGGATGGCATTTGCGGTTTTGATATTTGGTGCTGTATTTTGGATTAGTGGGTGTACTAAGTAGAGCTAGACGTGGCTTTGATAGATCTTTCTTCTTCATTTTTTTTTTTTTTTTTTTTTTTTTTTTTTTTTTATAAAAATTAAATTCGACGCTGAAGCTAAAAATGTCAGCCCCCGGCGCCAGAAACAGCTCCCTTTTCACCCGTAACTTCGGACGGCGAGAGACGACTTATAGGAGACTGCTCATTCCAGATATTCTCGGGTTCCAAAATACGGCCGGCAGCTAATTACTCGTTTGTTAAAATCCGGAAGGAACACCTTTCTAGTTATGTGTCGGTCCATGTGAAGGGCTGTAGCAGAGCTGATGGTCTTATTGTTAGAGCAAGAGTCACGACAGTCTTTGAGAATGAAGATAGAATTTTTCTATATTTCCGTAGTGAAAACATGAAGAATCCCTTCTGCCATAGGTGGTACCTATTCTTCGTCGTCCGCAGAAAGATATACCAGGCTATATATAACCGGACTTTGACCTATCAAATTATATCATCTATACTATTTATAATGGAGTCTATTTATCCGAAAGCACATCAGTCGCTCCTTTACATACCAAAGAGGTCGGAATGGAGCCATTCAACAACGGGTGACTCTGAGACCAACTAAATCCCTGACGCTTGACAGAAAGGGTCGGCTCATTCCAATTCTCAAGGTTTGGCCCAAAGTGATGAAAAGGGGCGTTGTGGACATTATCAAAGGATATCGACAGGCAACTACTGTAATGATGCAATCTTTGCTCCCTGGATGAGAAGCCTAGGCACAAATTCGTATATAAAGATTACGCGCAGATTTGAGAGCCGGGATGCGCTTTGAAATATATGCTCTTCGGAAGGAAAGTATACTTACGCTCCGAGAGGTTGCTTATTACCTAATTGGTGATGAAGACCGCGATGCGTCGGTGATGAGGAGAGTCCCATGGTTGCGACGTAATGAGTAACGAACATAAAGGCGGTACATGTTGAATTAGGACTTCTTGGATTACAAAGCCATGTCACGTGAGCTTTTTCGCGATTTCGATACAACTTGAGCACAAATGTTCGCAAGTTCTGTCATAACATCGTCCATATATTGCAATTGAAGCCAGTCGCCGAGAGTTAGCTTTCGCACTGGGATGCGGCGTATCAAAACAGGAACTTGTTCCAACAGTTTCATGTCATTAATGGCCTCTGGATCATGGGGATTGATAAGTATGTTGCAGAAAAGAGTCAGGACAGCAGTGATCGCGTAGAAGAGGGCCACCCTGGTTCGTCAGACAACTGTCAGTTATGAATAGTCGCTGAATATTAAGGGTCGGTACCCATACCACACGCACTCGGGGTGCACGACGTATAACACTTTATGAAGAAAAGACAGTGTTGAACGGCTCGCAGCAGTGGAAAGACTTGTACTGGAAGTGATGTTGTCGAGCCTTGGCCCCGGAATATCGGTTGTGGGATCTTGAAATTTGCTGCTGGCTTGGTGGATTACTGCCACGCAATGATAGTACGCAAGTCTCAACATCACTGCTGACGTGTTCAAGTTGGCGGCCACAGATGTCTCCTGGGAAACGTATAAGGTCGGACGGAGCTCCTCTGGAAGAGATCGCCTCCATTGCTCTAGTGATTCGTCAAGGCTGCGGATGCTTGATAAGAATTCTGATTCGGACTGCCGAAAAGAATGAGCGCTGTATAATCTCTCGTACACCTTCGATTTCAGCAACGAGAGACGGAGGTCCCAGGGAAAAAGTGGAATGGTCTCATCATCTACCTGTGACATATTTCCGCGTAAGTTGATGTTATGTAGCCGCACATAGTCGCAAGGCAGAGTGAGATCGCAATGTGTGTCAAGTATACAGGGCGGTTGACCAATTCTGAGACATAAATCTTTATCGAAAGAGTAACAAAGCCAAAATAGATCCCGCAGGTGGCATCTCAAGTTGCCTTTGTTGTATGTGGATGAAGAAGTGTTCGAGGGCTCGCCGGCATACAACGTATGGGCCCCAAGCGTATACAAAAGACGCGTGGCGATCGATAATGTTGCAGCTGCGGAAAGGAGATCGCCTATGAAGTATTGGTGTTGCACCTAGTAGATTGCTTAATATCCAAGACGAAGTGATGTGAGGGCAGAGTCAGTACCCACCAGCATGATCAATGACTGGAGGCCATCTACCGTTGACTCCTGGATTACTGCCGTCGTGAAGTCGTACACCATCGAGGCATAGGTCTGGCAATCCATACTTCCATGCGTATTATTGTCGAAGCCAAACAATGATATGAGAGAGAGAAACGCATACACGCACGCTTTGGAACTAGCGGAACCTGCGACTTGCAGGGGATTATAGGCGAGGTCCAGTGTTTTCCCGAACATTGACCGGCTAATCACGGGGAAAACGCGACTTGGGAAGGATGAGCTATAGACCTCGATATACCTTTCCACACTCGCTCTGCCCGGAAGTTCAGGGCGCCGAAGAAAAGAGCCATCGGGATTCGTATGCGAATCAGACGGCTTTAGTCCGTGAAGTTCGAGAGAAAATACTTTATCAAAATTGACTTTTTCTCCAAGCTGAGATTCTACCCATCTTCGGCCTTGGTCTGAGAATATATGGTACCCCCGAGGGAGGTGATATTGTTCAAGAATGCATTCCCTGGTCTCAGATACCGTATGGTATCAGAACTTTGGAGAATTGGTTCACCAAGTGGCTTAGATGCACTACGCCTTTTGTCAAGCCTGATACCTCGGAAATGTTTGATAGTTAGCGACATAATCTGGTTACCCGCAGCGATATCTAGTCAAGAGCAAACGAGCCGATTGATTCATGACATTAGGCAGCAGATGGAGCCGAAGAGGAAGACATAGAAAGAGGAAAATCAAACGAAACAAAGCAATCAAGAACCAAAAGACGCATATTCTCGGGTAATGGCCATACCTCGTGTTCATCTGTCCTCGGAGTCGATTGTAGGTGCAAGCGAGATTATGATGCTCGCACCAATTGCACTGAGGGAGAACTGCATCACATTTGATCTACCGAACCCGAGATTGGATGTCAACGATGAGTCTATGGTGTCTAATGGCGTAGACTTATGTGTTGTGCCGGGGCAGAAGGGATATACCTTTTTCATACAGCAAGAGTCGCATGCCCTGCGTCTCGGTTTCCGGTTTCCCTTCCGTGATCGTGGTGGACAGGTGTATTGTTGGCGGTTTTCGTTCATGTCTAGTGAAAAATAAGCAGTACCGTCACATAAAAAAAACAAACAAACAGCAGGGCACTGGAACCCTCAGTAACAGAGATTCGGTGAGGCTGCAGAGTTGTGGTTGAAAATTTGGTTTGTAAAATCGTCATTCACAGGCCAGTCGGTTTCATCCCGCTGACTAATCGGTGATTTATTGCCGATGCAACCAGTCATAGTTCGGGGTACTCGAACGGCCGAGGCCGGCTTTGACCGCTCGACCGGGATCGCGCTTAAATGGAATCTTCTGACCGTTCGAAACCCTGGTGTCGGAAGTGAACGTGGTCCGACACCAGTCTCAGTCACTATATTTCTAGCCTCTATCAACATGGTTGAACATCCTTCCTTTACACTTGCCGCTCTCCGTAAGTCCTCAATTCGATGCGTAAAACGGAAATCTTGAGTCGCTGAACATTAATAACTGAAAAATAGTTCCTGCTGGGGGTGTTTTGGGGTATTTAAAGACACGCTCAGCACCATCATTGATCAGCGGCGTGGGACTAGGACTTTCATATGGATATGCAGGCGAGTGCTTATGCACAGCACACCATTTGGGGCGCATTTTCTTGCGCCGAGCTAACCGAATTGTTGGGCTATCTGATCAAAGAAAACAGGGACTACGAAACCGAGTTGGCCCTGGTAGACAGTGTAATCTTGCTGGCTTCCGCAATCCCTAGAATCATCAATACGCAAGCCAAGTCCCCCGTACCCATTATTCTCGGAGTCACCGGGTCTTTGGCAACTTTCTACTACCAGAAAAAAGTCCGGATGTTCCGATTCGGAGTCTGATGAACGAAAGCTGAATAAGTCTGACCAGTCTGGCGGATTGATATGGTAGGGAGTATCCAGCGCTATCCAGGAATCATGCCGGAGGATAGAGTTAACAGGGAAATTAATAGGGAAAGAGGTCAGGAGAAGCTGATCAAGAATGTATTTATTTATGAAAAGGTGGTATCTCGATCCAATAACTTTTTACAAAGTTTTCGAATTAATTTATACCTAATTCTGCTGCGCTGTAAGGTATGTTCGATTTATTCGCAGAAAATCACCTAGATTCCTAGGAACTCGACGTTTTCCACTGTCACTTATGTGTGCCAAGAATGAACGATACACATGATATAAAGTTGATGTCTCCCACCCTCAAAGCCACAGACCTGACCCCTTACCTTGGTCACAGATCCAACCAAGTCAGAAGTCATACACAGGTACTACACTGTGTTCTCCGCTGAGTAATCGGCCGGCGAGCTTGGCGACCAGGGATCTGGTGTAAATTCAAATCTCGCATATAAAAAACAAGAACCTGCTCATATTGGTCCTTTCATCATCTTGCTACTGCGTGGAAAGAACTTTTCTCAGCCTATGTCATTCTTCGGATTTTCGAGGTCTCGGGTAGCAACCTTCAGCAAGTTTACGGCCTCAGTGGCTTTAACCGGCGCAGGAGGGTGGCAGTTATGGACAAGGCACTGCTATTTTGAGCCATTCGGGCCTGAAAACGACCCTATTTTCCAAAGCGACCACTACAAGCGGCTTAACCCGGAAAACCACCCGTCACTGAAAGACTCGTGCGTGCGAAAGGTGCCACTGTCCCAAATCCCACCGGAATTGGTCGAGGATACGCTCAAGGGAGGTTCTAAGCTTGTCGAAAGATTCTGTGCTGGCGTATGGGGTGGTTATGGTGAGTGGTTTGACCGGTTAGGATGTTAAGGGATCGAGACAGCGTAACCGGCACCGCTATTAGGACAGGGTTACTGATTAAATTATCTTATTCCACCTACAGGATACGCCATCCAACGAAATATATTAGCTCGACTAGGACGAAGGAACTCAAGGAACGATTCTATACTGTGGGATAAACATGAGTTATTGAACAGTACCTACGAAGAAGGTAGAATGCCCGCCTGGTTCAACACTGATTAATAATTGGCGCTGCAAATGAGTTGTACTAATGTACTTATCTAGGGACTAATGTAACTGACCACTTCGTCGTCATTGGGAAGAACCCTAAATCGATCGTTCTATGGGGAGCAAATGCGCCATCGGATAATCCAGGAGTTCGACGGGACATGGAGAACATCGCTGAAGTTACCACCAATATCGATGTCGGCCAAGGCGTGGCCGAGTTTAGGCTGAAGAATATATTCTACAATGGAGTGGAGCGGACATGTAAAGACTTGTTTCCGCGACCGATCGTGTGGCTGCATTTTCAATACTGCAAACTGTTAGTTGAGGGAGGAGTGAGCTATTGCAAGGCGTAGTTGGCAGTTGCTCACGGATGTTAGATATGCTTCTTGTTTTTCGGCACCAACGAGACTCTTCTTTCAGTGACATCAATTTTTGTGCAAATGCCGACTCTGATCCTCTTTTAACAGTCTGAATCCTGATTCCCCGTGGTCACGTCGATGCATGCGAGAGTTTCCAGGACGTGAAAGGGCGTGAGGACTAGTTTGAAACGGAATAGATTTCGGGTGATCATCCTTTATGCACGCATACTTATGAGACACTGCTTTTTTAAAGACATAGGATCTCAACCGGTCCATGTGGCCGATCGACCGTTGGTAATTTCAGACAGCGGAGCCCATTGGCATCTTCTATGCGTCAATATGGTATAAAGTCTGGTCCACCGATGCTCAAAAGCCGTAGACAGGGTGCTTGTAACAACAGATCGGTTCTATAGTCAAGCAGTGCAATGCAGCTCCGGTCATAAACAAAGCGAGGGTGTCCAAGCCTTGTATTTATGGCCTATCATTCCTCCCATGGTGTGAAATGGGCCTGGTCTCGTGAATTGGTCGCTTGATTTTGGTTAGATCAACGTGTCTGATCCTAACCGTCGATGACCACCTAGCACCTTATTGCTCCCTGCGCGGGCCTTGAACTCTTGAGGCCAAATAATCGAACGCAATTTTCTATCATCACTCGCTCCCTGAGTCCACCACGATTATTGACGAGCACGATTGCCATCATCAACTTCATTTGATCTTATATGCGCTTAAAACGATAATATGCCACTCCTTTTTGCCTTCGCATTCTTTGATTCTACTACAAACGATTGATCCTTGTTAAGCAGTACTAGGATATACGTAAAATCGCCTCGTGAGCGACCTTGCCCGCAATTACTACAATCATATCGATAAGCTTGCTTAATTTACCAGATTACCCACGCGCAAGGTGGAAGCCTTCCGCACTAATGGCGAACAAGTGCTTCCTAAAATTGATATCTCTCTACGAGAAACTACACCACCTTCTAGTCAATCAAGCAGAGATCTGGCAAATTCACATCCAGAACGAGTAGGATTGTTGCTCAGTTACAAAAGCAAGCTTCGATGCTTGAAGCCAACTGTCGGTTAGAATTCGTTTAGTAATGGATGCTGAAGCTGACCGGACGCCCCAACCACAATTTTCGGGCTTTGGAGGATCTTCTCTTTGCTATTACCTCTAATTTCCTGTCCCAAGAAGCCCCCATGGGTGTCCTCAAAATCGAGGTCTTTGATGGCGTTCCATATGCCATGTATCTCGTCCGGGGAAAGAGGAATCTGTAACATAATAAGCTGGGTATAAAGCGCTGGAAAGAATCATGACTAACATAATTTGGATAGGACCACATAAACGAAAACGAAGAGGTACCAGGAGGGCGATCAACATGGTACAGTCCACTCGGAACGATCGCAATCGTGTCGGCAATGAAAAGCTTCTTAGCCGACTTCCACCATAGAACAGAACCGCCATGGAAATGACCTCCCGTCTTGATGGCCATCAGATCTGACGCAGGGCGATGTTCGGGGGAGCCGTGAGGGCACAGAAGAGGGAGCTTTTTTCCTTTTCAAAGTTTAAGTCTGTGGCCGTCACCCCTGTGTTCAAGGCACTGTTGGTCTTCCGCAGAAATAAAAAGATCACAGTTAAAAACCTCGGCCCATTGAAAACTAGTAGAGAAATACTGCGGATGGGAAATCACAATGGCCTGGATTCCGCCGAGTGAGTTCACCCGTTCAATCGTATCCTCATCCAGATAGGTAATACGACCCCAAAGAAAATTACCAGAACTGGAATCACCGAGACAGAGGAAGGCCCTTTGGCCGATAGCCAGCTTTGGGGCAGTATGTATAGTGATCAAATTAGGGTTGTTTGGATCGGTATTAGAACCGTTACGATAATTCTCCATTGATGAATGCAAGCTTCTGAGGGATTTCCACGACCGGCTAAGCTTCGCATCAGCTGCAAGTTAATAAGCGGGAATGAGAGAGAGGTTTAGTTGCCCGGTTGGAGGTACATATTGACGCGGGTCGTCACAGATCTTGCACGATTTCAATCCTGTACTAACATCGTACTGAACGCCACAAGTAGAGCAGATCAAGAGGTCTAGAGCTGAAAATACCATTTTTGAAGAGCAGTGATATTAGTCTAATACTCATATCTTATAAAAAGATTTCGTAACCTACCGCTGTTCGGTAGGTGGGCTACGAGCTGCTGATTTATAATTTATAAAGTGCTGACGTCATTATCGCGGTAAGGCCACGTTATTGTTATCTGATGGATAGGGTATAACGAGGGGTATAGAAATTACGAGTTAGTCGTAGCCGCTCGTGTTTGGGTCTTGAGCATAGGTGGTTATGGGAGATATACGCTGACTAACTCGGAGATTGCTTACATTTGCTTGCTCCTTGTCTGTCTGGCCCATTTCATTCGCATGATTAGTACACCCACTCTGGCTTTGGGGAAATATCACAGCCATAAATACAGGATCGCCGTAACCAATTACAGAGGCACAATTGCAGCACATGATGTACACTGTGTGTTGTCCTCAGTGATCATGGTGTCGAATATACAACGGTAAGCACGTCCTTCTCGGACACGACCAATTTTATTCACGGCGGATAATTCGCCCCGCGCGCTCACAATGATCCAGCAACAAGTCAATCAACCACGATCAGATCCGGCGGCCCCTATCACTTCTCAGCCTGCCCAAGTCAGAAAGCATGTAGGAACAGGATACTCACAACTTGTCATCAACACGACGTATACGGTATAATTCGTGGAGGAAGTCACGGCCGAGTATTCCAGAAAAGGAATCTTTCGCAAGATCTATAACGAGACTAGTATAGAAATAATATTACTCAATATATGATTCCAAAATATTAGATGACTGGACCACAAGGTACAATTCAGATGATAGAACCCAAAGTACCTCGCTCATGCACGATTGCGGCGGGAAATGGTTGTGCGGGGACACACGTTATTTATTGTAGTTTAGGTAAAAAGCTTGCTGATTTCCTAAAATATCTTCTCTATTTGCCAGATTGTTTATCAATCCTCAAAATATGGGAGGATGTTGCGGGGATACTTGTCTTTCCTTTCACAGGTTTTCATACAACCCATATACCAGAGGTGATCCTGTACAAATTTGTGATTACAATCAGCATTGCCGTGGCCACTGTCAATACCTTTAATGACCTTCATACCTGAAGTTGTAACATTTCCCCCATTTTCAGAGGCAATCCGGTATTCAATGAAGTATGGCTCCACTGCCCACGAATATCGTGGAGGGATAGTGGGAACCAGGTCGCAGCAATGGGTAACTCGATAATTTTCACCGTGGACTTGGCTTGTAATGATCTCGGCCAGCGAGCGTTTTCCTTCTCGTGGGCTTCCAAAACTATACTGGATTTCCAGTTAACGCTTATGTTCGTTTTTGTCACAGAGCTTCTATTATCCGCAACTTATAAGAGTGATAGTATGCCCAACAGACCTCAAGTTGCTCCGAGTGTAACAACTGCGCTCCTAAGACTATGACCTGTCAGGACAATCCCATAGTCTGGATGCTCTGCAACGGCAGAATTAACTAAATTAACTAGCTTATGCTAAAAATTGATTATATAAGGCAAGATTTCAGGACCCGATAAGGTGCCAGAGCTGAACAGGACCGGTCATTAGTCATATTTTCACGGGCCCCGTTAAACTTTCCACAGGTCCCGCTGAGCTAGGTGCACCGCGTGGGCAACCCGCGCGGGTTTCGGGGCTGGTTGCGGGTTAGCCGAGTCTACCCATCGCGTTTGCGGGTTCGGGTTGCGGGTTCGGGTTGCGGGTTCGGGTTGCGGGTTGACTTCTCTTACCCATTCGCGGGTTTTGGCGCAGTCTACCCATAGGTAACCGACCCATATGGGTTTTGGGTTGGGCTCCGGTCCTAAGTTTGAACCTGCTGCCCCGGGTTTGGGTTTTGGCGATGTCTAGGTATAGGCCTCCTATCAATAGACAGTGCTAACCTCAGTGGCCGGGTCTATCCCCGGGCTTCCAATCTACACCGATGGCATTTCACATAGCCGGGTATCAGGTTATGGCTTTGTTTCTCGATCAATTAAAACTATGCGTAACCATTGGCACGCCGAGCACTAATGGATATCCCATAACGTACGCCGGATTCGCCAACAGGCCCAACGGGAGATTATACAGGCCAAACAGGCTTTCGCCTTGGCCAAGCAGCAAACGTGAGGAAAATTAAATGTACAAGAGCATCTCGTTCATGTGCTTCGTTGAATGCTTTCACCCCTACACTAGTGCGCGCAGGTAAAAGACAACATGAGCGTTGGGGGCCGTAGAATGGTTGTGGTTGGGATTGGACTTCGGCACGACCGATGGGAACCCAATTCTCCGACCCATCATAGTGCTCCTCATGACTGTAAACAAGTCTTTTTAAATGTCTTCCCAGATAGCTGTAAACCATGATTCTTTTGGCTCGTATTTCGTTCAATTAATGCCCCGTTTGAGTCGCCTGAAGTGGGTCGTCAATGTACTACTGGCTTAGTTCGGTGGGTGTGGGTATCCCGAATTGCGTTTCGTTAACCGCTTTGGGACGCCGACTGGAGTGTCCGTTTAGTTAACCGCTTTCGGACGCCGACTGACTGGTCTGGGGTTGGATTTTTAAACACTACGCCAATTTAGATTCATGAAAATGATGTGACGCATATATAAACTGTCGTCATCACCGATGGTCGGGCTCCTTGTAAAAGCAAGCTCCCCTGCCGAAAACATCCAGCCGCTATGGATACTCTCCTTTCGAAGTACTACGAAAAGGTGCCTAGACGATTTCACGCTGGCGCTCTGACTGCATGCAATGTTCAAGGAGATGTAATTTATTCCGATATAAAAGGCACCCAGACCGTGGACCGTTCTGGCCCCGCAGTCACCGAAGATTCAATCTTTTGGGTTTCATCCTTAACCAAAATCGTCACGGCCGTCACTGTGATGATTGTAGTTGAGCGAGGCTTGATTTCACTCGACGATGATGTCGGCCAAGTTGTACCGGAGTTGGCAGCGCCGGAGGTCTTGTCTGGATTTGATGAAGATGGTAGTGTCCACCACTGGAACTGCTATTGTGAGACAGGATCGCCACTGCTCACAATTTTTTCCTAGGGAAACCCATTGTGAATCGGACGGAGAAGAAGCTCACGTTGCGCAGTCTCTTGACACATACAAGTGGCTTCACATATAGCGTGATGAGCAAGAACCTGCAGAAGTGGGCGGCGTATCATGGGAGAAATATCGACCACACACAGGGAACTTATGTACTACGCTCCCTATCTGTAATTTCCACTGACAAAGGGTCTGACCAAAAATCTGTCATTTGACTTCAGGAATCGATTACCTACCCCCTTATTTTCGAACCAGGAAAAGATTGGAGTTACGGCCCTGGAGTGGACTGGGCTGGGAGAGTGGTAGGTCTCTGGCTGCAACATAGAATCCAGCACCCCATTTAATAAGGTGTACATGCAGGTTGAGATCCTCTCTGGAAAAAAGCTCGGGGAATTTATTCGTGAGAACATCTGTTGCCCATTGGATCTCCAATCTACTACATTCCACCCGGAGACCCTGCCTGACTTTGAGAAGAAAAAAGTGGAGATAGCCAGCCGAGACAGAGATGGTTCCCTAACTCCAACCAAAGAGATATTCCCCATTCCCACGCCAGATGACCTTGGGGGTGGATCTCTGTACTCCACGGCTCGCGAATTTACCAAGATTCTCTCAGCTCTTCTCGCAGGAGGTGAGGGAATAATCAAGCCCGAAAGCGTGGATGAGATCTTTCGGCCTCAACTGCCGGATGCTGTGAGAATAACATTGAACCAGCAGATTAATTCACCTGGAGCACGAGGAATGAAGTGGCTGTTTACAACGGGAGATCAAATCGATTTCGGGCTGACTGTCTCAGTCACCATTGCTGATGTTCCGAATGGCCGTGCACATGGGACAGTGTCGTGGGGAGGACACACAAATACGCAGTGGGTAAGTGACTTTCTAGTGTGCTGGTCGACAGAAACATGAACATTGATAGAAGAGATAATATCAGTGGATCGATCGGAAGACAGGAGTATGTGCGACGAGCTTCTTTCAGTACCTTCCTCCGTCGGATTCCCAGGCTATTTCGCTCCGGGACGAGTTTGAAACGGAGCTGTATAGGCAGATACGCCATACGGACCCATGAGGTATAGGTGGCCACTAAAACGATTCCTCTTGATGGTGACATATTGTGTCATAAGCTGCACTGCAACATTTTAGGTACGAGGAAATCAGTTTAAATATGACTTGGCTCATAGAATACGAAGTCTAGATGAATTCTTGCGCTTGAGGAGTCATCAAAAATATGTAATCTCCTTGAGCAGTTAATTTATGCCAGCAAGAGGAGGGGCAGGGTTCAAACACTCCTTAGGCCGATAGGTGCTAATCCTACGTCGTAATACGTACAGTAGAATTCGAAAACAGTTTAACCCCCCCAGACACTCACTCTTTGTTCTCGGCCCGTACCCAATACCACGCTAGTCCTCAGGAAGAAAAACACGCAAATAATAATTTTCTTCTAAAAGATATGTTTAATTCCAGAACGACCGCATGACGCCGTATATTGCAGGAAACTCCTATACACTCTCCTACATTAGTACCTATCTACACCCTGACATACGTCCTCACCACCGCCACACCCGGAGAACGCGGTTAAAACTGGAATCTATATCAACCCTTTCGTCTCGCCAATACGCACCACGTACTTAATAGCAGATGCCTTGCCCGATTTAAGATCCTGCAACGCCCCTTCAAGTCTAGCCAACCCACCCGGGCGCACTTCATACGGGTGTCGCGAGAACCAGCCCTGCGCTAAGCGACGGCCAATGAATTAGAAGAAAGTAGCGCTAAACTCGTTATCCTCGACTGTCTTGCCTGCTGCGACAGGCATATAAACCGACCCCGCTATAGTTTGCTCATGATAATTCCGTCGGGGGGCTAGTAGTCACCGCTCGACAGCATGGTAGTGATCTCCCTAGGCGCGGTCATAACCGCGCCGACATTCTAATGACTTCTATGTGCGCCTACCGCATCGAATGCGTAGTGTATCGATCGCCCACCCGCCGCTTCCTTGATCTTTGCCCTAATAACTTCATCGCCTTCACGGTAGTCGATTATCGTGTTACCTTTCTCGCGATCGATAAGAGTTTCGACGAAGGTGCTGCCTTTGCCAGCTACCGTGATAAGCGGGTAGATATTAGAAAGCCGGGCAAATTTAATCGCAAAGGCTCTAACTACGGTCGCGCCGCCATATACAATAAGAGGCAGAGGCTTAGTGGTCGGATTCCAAGGCAGAGGCAGCTTTAAGCGCTGATAAAGACCGAGTGCAGTAGTCATAGCAGCCAGCGGAATAGTGGCCGCCTCTAGCCGCGTCCCTATATTAGCTTTAGTGAAAACATTTGATCGGAAACAGGCTCACCTTCAAATCCGGTTTTGGCGGGAATATGGAAGGTCGTGTAGTCGGGCGCGATTGCATACTCGGCGTAGCTGCCATAAGGTTTTATCACTTAATAGAACGCGGCGACCCTATCGCCCTTGTGGAATCCCATCACCCTCTCCCCCAATGCCTCGATATATCCGGCGATATCATCTCCTTGCTTGGTAGGCGTCCCGTCTGTTGGCCACCAGAGAGGCATCTTCCAGTCCTTAGGATTAGTACCAGATACGGCCACGCGAATAAGGACGTGGCCAGCTTCAGGAACGGGGATACCGGTGTCTCGGATCGTCAGTGAGATATTCTTGTCCACAAATGCCTCCTTCATGATTGTTAGTGATCCTCTTCTGAGGTACGTTTTCTACAGCAGTAGTACAGCTTTCGTCATGTAAGAGGTAGGTGGATAAAGACGAAGACTACTCCTAGAGAAAAGGAAGAAGCGAGATCGCCAAAACCCCTCCTCTCCGCCCCCTCTTAGAACATTAAAAGGAAAAATACGGTAATTTACAATAACTCATTAGACACTACAGTCCAAGACGGTTCTTTACCGCGATACTGTTAGGCAGGGGTTATTTTTAAGGTAACCTTATATGGTCTAGTGTCGTTCCGGGTACGGGACGAGAAACAAAGAGTGAGTGTCTGGGGGGTAAACTGTTTTCGAATTCTACTGTACCGTGCGCTGTGTTCTGCGCCTCCGCTTTCATCATAGCGCGTGGACTCCATCATAAGATCATCTGCAGAGCTGATAGGAATTTTCAAAATTAGCTAGTCTAGTGGTAATAGGAAACCAATCCTCTTGGCTAGGCAATGTTTGATCACCTAAGCTCTCGAAAGTAGTTGCTATAGGCTCTGGCTAAAGCTGCCACTTCCTCTTTCGATTGACACAGTTTGACCGGGATTCTCGATTGAATGTGCATCAAGGAAGTGCCGTCGGAGATATAAAGTGATAATATAATTTCTCCTTCGCAGCATAGATGAGGGCAGAACACTGCGGCTGAAGAGTCCGCGGACCTTAGATGTTCGTTACTGTATCCCGAAGGTGTGTCCGCAGTCGTGAGCAGTGATGAACTGGATTGGATTAGACGATCAGATGGACTGCAAGGCGCCACCCGCGCGTAAAAAAGGTCAGATGCTCGCGTCAACGGCAACGTTAGGTCAATAATCTTTGAGTCGACAGTTTAGCTTAGCTCCGGAGTTAAATTCGGAAGCATGCGCAGGCAGGGTAGGGTGTTTGACTTTTTTCGTGTTTACTTTTATTAGTGGTCTCATTTCTTGTATGACATATTCGTCTCGTCAGTGTTGGCAGGCGTGAACCCCCACTTTAGTACTATTGATGTGAACCTAACCAACCGGGGGAAGGCATCGGGTCTCAGTCGCTCAGCCCCTCCAATTGTTGGCTAGTTTCCAAAACCGGAACTCCTCCGGTCGGCTCATCAAGCGATGGGCGATCGCTTCTGCAGTTTCACAAATTCATTCTTTGGAATCTATGGCCACAGCAGGCGTCACATTATTCAATAATTCTAGAAGGGCCAATGTCATTGTTTTCACGGGCCATTGATGGTTTAGCGTATTAGCGTATCGGGGGGATCGGAATTTTGCCCGGCTTCGCACTAGCGCACAAGATCTCTTTTAGAAGCAACCAAATGAATGGACAAACCCGAACATTTGTGTTACTTCTTGCTGATATCACGCTACTGTCTTCAAACAGACGGCCGACCACCAGTAACAGAAGGAGGAGTTCAATGATGAAAGGATCGTGAATGTACCCCGCTATTTTGTGAATCATAGAGTTACCTACCAACAATCTTTAGAAGGAACAACGGCATTAAACCTCATACATTTGATTCACACTGACCTCCAGTCTTTATACCTATTTGGTATGTTTGCTGTATACATGGCCGTTCCGTTATATTTGCCCAGTATGTTGATTCCTCCACTGAACAGGGATGCTCTTAATGCGGATAAAGGGTAGCATTTGATTATCTCCGGAAAATTACGGAGCCACTCATCATGTGATTTTCCTTTACGGTATATTTCGAGTAAACATGCTAGGCCATAACAAGGCTAGAGCGTTGTTTCAGAGTACAGTTTGCCCACAAAAAAATGCGAGAGAATAAACTGGTGAAATGGTCCAACTGATTTGGCGGCCTCTATACAGTTCTGTACTCTTCATCCTTCTTATACTTCTCATACTGTTGATCCCCTTCCATCTGTCTCCACTATGCATTACTCCACCGAGTACGATAACCGTTCAGGCGCTCTTGGTAGTCACAGTAATATCAGCACATTTAGCCCGAACGCCCACGCCAATGAAGACTGGTCCAAGATTTCCGATCCCGCAGAGCGCCGTCGCATTCAGAACCGCATAGCTCAGCGTAACTACCGTAAGTACCCATGTTGACTTGACAGTCTCATATATGTTTCTCACTTGCCGCGATCTAACAGGCAAGAAGCTGAAGCGCCGACTGGAGAATCTGGAGAGACGAGCTGGGTCTTCGGCTTCTCCAGAACAATCACAAGCAAAGCCAATTTTACCAAAGTCGTCTCCGACCAAGACTCGAATAAAGATGCGAGCGTCTAAGTCTGTTGCAGATGTCAAGCCTCACATCTCGCATTCATCGGACCGACCTGCGTCCTACGAACACTACACGAATTCAGATGATCGCCAAACCGTCTTCGCTCAACAATGCACTCGCCAGCTCTCGGAATTCCCTCCACAACTCCTCTACCGTCCTTCCATGTCCCCATACGACGCCTACCGGCAATCAGCCTACTTCCAGTCTCCATTCTACCGTGCTACCCCGAATAATTACAACGAAGTTACCACCTACCAGACAGAATACAGCGATCCATTTGTTTCAGTAGTGCCTATGCTCCCTTCATTGCACACGGCGGGCAAAATCGCCTACGACGAGGATTTCACCAGTCCATTCAGCATATGCCACGCAACAATAGCAGGCTTCGAACTATGCCAACAGCAGCAAGAAGCACACTCTCAGAATGCTCTGCCGAATGGTCTTCCGGTACATATTTCTCGCTGAGTTCCTCAGTGCATATGGATCTACAAATGTGCACACTCCACCGTCTCATCAGCCAGCTAATCATCTATTCTGTCTGCCCTTTTCCAGGTGCCATCACTTGCATACTACTACACGGACGATCACTAGCGACAACCTCTGATGTCACCAGAGACATTTCTTTTCACATTCCCACTCACGCCCGAATCCACTTCATCTGCGACATGTTCCCGCTCAGCGGATTGATTGCGGATAACGTCGCAAAGTTGAAGGCAGAGCGTATAAAAAGAGTCAAGTTATGGAGTGCATATGTGAAGGGTACGAGTAATGCATCTTGCAGTGACCTCAAATGCTCTTCGAGCGCACCAAGGTCAGCCGTTCACTATATTCCGCCTTGTTTATTATATCCAGATCCCATATCGTTGATTCAAAAAGTTGGATTCGAAGGGAAGGTTGTGATCCACCATCTATGCCACCAAGGCGAGAGAACAGCGTGTAGGCTATCAGGCTATCTGTGGACCAAAACTTTCGTGAGGGAGATATATAGAGTTATAATATGATGCAACTAAACATCGAGCAAAACACTCGATAAGTTGCGCAATCCTCTTTTGATCTCACGTAGTCTTTAGAACCCTCAATTATCCCCCCAGCACTTTCATATCTTGCTAGTGGCCGGCACATCGGCAAGGTCTGCATCAATTTGTAGATGTGCAGCATTGGCATATTGTGCATCTAAATAAAGAGCCCCAGCAGCTTACTGGTAGATTTATCAGCAATTAAGCTCTGCGTTATTGGTCTTGACAACAATTTTCATCTGATATAAACTGCATTTAAACGCATTTTAGAGAGCCTTCCAAGTTTGTACATTGTACCATTACTAAGCTAGGCGATAATTGTCGCATCCGCTGCGATTGAACTGCAATGAAATATCTACAAATACTAGATATATAACTAGTACTTCATATAAGCAAGCTTCCTATTTACCGCCCCAAGTCCCGAATCGGAAGTTTTCAAAGAATATTCCGTCATGCCCCATGTGGCTGTTTGTTGCAGTGCCAGAACCGATGAGTGCTACAAGGTATATACCAAGAGGGAATCTCCAGCCATGTTGTGAATCGTGTGTGTCGACGTTGTCCAAATGGTCTAATGTTTTCACCAAAGAGGGCACTGGAAGGGTGGGTGCCCAGGTATCTTTGCGAAGATCGATCACCGCGTTTGCTCTTTCTGTATCTTCTTTGTATGGTGGAGGCACGTAGAGTTCCCTAAAAGCAGGCTGTATACGACGTAATCGATTATTCTTAAACAGAATGCTCGCAGGTCCCATCCGAAGATGGGCTCGTGTCTTTTGGTCCGATTAATGTACACTGGAGTGTGGAATCGGAGTCGGTCGAGAATAGACTTTTACTCGGCCAAAAGACCAGCCAAAACTCGGACAAGTTCAAGGCCTTCCACAACGGGGAAAGCAGGTTAAGCAGATGTTTTGGGCTGCTTTCTCGGGCGCTACCCGTCGAACTAGCTTAATTCCGCTATTCGGAGATCAGGAATCAGAGCGTGGCAGTGTAAACAGCATCGTTATTCGAGATCTATACCTCCGAATCCTACCTATCTTTATATCGAATGAAGGGTCGGTATTCCAGCTTGATAATGCGCCAACGCATACTGCCCACGTCGTCCGGGACGCTTTACGGGACTTAGGGATTGAGGTTATAGACTGGCCGCCGTATTCGCCTGATTTGAACCCAATTGAGAACCTCTGGGCGTTGATGAAAGCCGAGATCTGTAAGCTTCGGCCTGATATTATTGATATGAAGAATAATGAGCATACTAAGGCTATTTTAGTAGCTACGGCAGAGATTGCATGGGACCAATTAAACCTAGAGCACCTAAAGCATTTTTCTGAAACGATGCCGCATCGGGTGCAAGCCATTATTGATAGCCAGGGATGGTATAAATGGTGATACGTGAAGATACGATGCCGAAATGATGAGGCGGCGAGAATCAGCAATCAAAACGCGGAGGTTATTTGAAGATGGTGTAGCAGCTGGAGCACGGGCCATCGGGTACTATGGATTTTTACAGGGGCCGCTGCAGGTTTTAGCGGGAACAGCCAGCAAACGCACACACGACCGGTCCAGACAACGACATATTGGATTCACAGGAACAACCCGATTAAAGCAAGATACTATAGATTTACTTTTTGCTGGCTTCTCATGAGCCCCTCCAAAATTTGGTAGTCGCAGCTGCCAGTTTATTTCTGTCCCCATCCATTCCCATCGTCAAAAAACACGTGTGGCTATTTCGTGTTCCTCTTCTCAGTGATATCTTTACTCCTTCGGCAAACGCTGGGCCATAAAGGCACCGAGATAGTCACTCTTGCCCAGAGGCACGCCCTGATTGCGCATAATGGCATAGGTCATGGAAAGGTGGAAGTAGATGTTGGGCAGGCCGTAGGCGCCAATGTAGCGGACGCTGGGGATCTGGATCTCCTTGCCGGGGCCCATTCCCAGGGGAACGGTGGCAAAGGCCTTGTCGTTAATGGTGGCCTTGTCGGCCCTTTCGAGCACCTCCTGGGCCTGGGCAATGCGGGCGTACATGTCGTCAAAGGAACTCAGGTTGTTCTCCCACTTCTGGGGCTCGGCCCCGGTGGCGCGGGCAACCATCTTCTGGACGGTGTCGCAGACAACGTGGACCTGGAAGGTCAGAGGCAGCATGTCGTCGTATAGTTTGGCAGAGGGCAGCTTGTCGGCGACGGGAGAGGCCTGGCCCTTCTTGAGGATGGACAGGAGAGAGTTGAGGGCATCATTGGAGCTGGGGATGGCGGCGTCGTAGACGGTGAAGGACATGTTGGGTGGTGGTTGTGTAGTGTTGTGGGAGAAGATAAGTTGAGACTTGAAGAGTCTTGCAGAGAGAGAGAGTCTTGTTGTTTGAGTTGAAATGGTATGAGAGAAGAGGACCAGGTGGAGGAGACGTGAGTGGGAAGAGCTCAATAACATATAGCGATGTGAGACTGGACTGGATAGGGAGAGAGGAGGCAGAGAGGCAAAAGTGAAACTAGTGAAGATGGCGCTTCCCTATTTACGTACCTCTTACCTTGATCATTCTGTTTCGCAGTCTCGTACCTCGTACACTTTAGTTGGCCGATGGGTGTTGGGTGTTGGGTGGCTCCTGCTCGATTCGATAGCTTTCGTCTGTCGTGTGCGATCTCTTCTTGAAGCTCCACCTTCCCAACCCATCGAATTTGGCAAGATGTAGGTCCCTACGTCCGACGCTGTTTCGGCCGCTAGGGGACAATGTTTACTAATTAGCTCAAACACTACGCCTAGAGATGTCTCTTTCTTACGTCCTGGATTGGCCAAGCAGTACAAATAACACTAGAATATACAATTCTACGCGACCGATTTAACAGCATTTGTGTGTTGTAGGCCTCTTCCTACCAATCGGTCCTGGCGAGGAAATAAAAAATTGAGAGGCGGCGGGTTCACCAGGCGACTGGGGTTGGCTGAGTCACAATGTACGCCAGGGCCCCGCCGAGGATGGTGGCTCTAACTTACGGTATTATCCAGCTTACAAATTGCTTCGGGCCCGTTGAAACTCGGGACCTCAAGTGGTAGTCCAGCGTTATTTTCATCACTTTTAAATGACACTACACGCATCTTCGCAAGCCGAGCCAGGTGATCCAATGCAGTCTCAAGTGTATTACCAATGCAGTCCATTATGAATCAGCTTCCACAACGGATCAAGCCGGATTACAAATCAGAAACCTAATAGAATTGCCGGATACGAGCAGTAGCTTCGAAAGCATCGAGCAGGGATGCCTTCGCTGCAAATGAGTGGTTCCCGTTTCAACGAGGTAACAATCAGCGAGAGAATGGAAGATTGGATCGCTGATTACACTAGAAACAGAGCGAATTTTTCGATCAACCATCCTGAAGCGCCACTATTCTTCGCCCGTTAAGTATTGTTGGCTACCCTCCCGATTAGCTGATGGCACTCGATCATGCACTTTATCCTTACTCTCTGTTTCATTTCTCACGCATGTCCACATGCTATCACGCCCATGGACATGTTCTTCTCGACTTGCTCGCAGCACTCTGTAGCAGCGGGCTCCTCGCTAATAGACTCATCAATCGCTGATAACAGTGGCACGCCAAACGCGCAGCTACTGGAGACAGCGGTCATGTGCCTCGATTTAGGCGTATCGCATGCACCGTCTGCCGACGAAGGAAGCTGGGGTGTGATAAGAAATGTCCGCGCTGCGGAACGTGGTAGCCAGTATATCGTTTCGACAGTTGATTTCCCGACTAGACGAGAATACGATCACCTGTCCAAAGGTATTGCACCGGGTGGACTGGTAGACCTATGGACCACCGTTGCTGTAGTAACGATGAACGTGACGAACTCAGGCCACCGGGCAGGCTTCGCTGTGCCGCAGCTGTACGTATCGCTTCCTCAGGCCACTACTCCTGCAGGCACATCAGCGAAAGTTTTAAGGGGGTTTGAAAAAGTATTCCTCGAGGTGAACGAAGTGCGGGAGGTAAGGTTTGAACTCATGAGGAGAGACTTGAGTTACTAGGACGGTGTTACAAAGCAGTGGGTAATTACGGAAGGGTCTATTTGTTTCGTGTCAGAGTTCAGCTTGAAGGACTTGTGCGCAAGGGCTGAGGCAATAGCTTTCGGGTAGGCTGCTCTTTTTGAATTGAGCAGATTGGGCAAAGATTGAGAGGGCTCCGAAGTAGTACATACCTTACACCACCCTTCTATTGAATCGCAGCGTGCGTTGGGGAATACCTGATTTTCGTTTGGCGGTAAACATCCTGCATTGGCGAATGCCGTCCCAGATATGGGGCGTCTGATCAGCGTCTTGTGTCAGCGCGGGATGAGTTATTTTATTATATTTGCTCTAGTTCGACAAAATGCAATCGAATTGGTGTAGGCAGATGCTATATAATTCTCTGTCAAAATAAGCAAGTTGCAGATGATGAGTTTGACGAAGACTGCAAGGTATAACTGTATCACTAGGCTGGACTCCAGGGAGTTCTCCCTCAAGGTAATATGTATCGTCTGTTTCGCGAATGTCAAAGGATGGAGAGTATGTCCAATTTCAAAGTCCGGAACGATTTGTCAATAAGCGGTCATAGTCGTCAAGAAGCTTACCCACACCATTGCGGGATTCTTTCGGCAGAGAAGGGATCAATGACTCATTTCTGGTGGCTGTGTCTGGGAAGGTTATTCGATAAAATATAGGTGCGGTCCTCGTCCGGAACGAGGATGCGTAGCGCAGCCAGGATAGGTGCGATGTTGGTGTCGTGGGCGCTAATTTTATAAGTACCTGCTAGAGCGCACACTGCATGAACCGGTGGAGAAGACTTCTCAGAAACGACATCTCGATTTGGCTGTTAGAGCCCACCTGTCTCATGCCAAAAATCGCAATAAGGTAATTATCGATGGCAAGTAATCCAGCGAGTTTTGAAAGGTCAGGATATTATCGCTGAATTATGAGCTCTCCGCATTAGATGACGTGGTTAGTAATTGCGGCTCAGTACCTGCAATCATTGAGGCGGACAGGTTGTGCGGGGTAGTAAACCTTCGCTCTTTCCTCATTTCAGGGCAAACGAAATCATACATACATCCATCCATCCATCCGTCTGTAAGACGAAGATTATAAGAATCTCTGCCTCGATACTATATCCAGAATTTATTGTATCCACGCACCATTCCGCATTGATTCCATCCTAGCAATACGCGCATCGGTCACCATCCTAGAAATGTCTACCCCCCAGTTCAAGCTGATCTTCCGCGTGCCACCATCCCACCTGGCGTTATGCAAAGAGGCCGTGTTCTCCGCTGGCGCTGGAAAATATCCGGGCGGCCGCTACTCCGAGGTGAGCTTTGAGACTCTCGGCATCGATCAGTTCCGGCCCAGTGCGAACTCCACCCCCCATATCGGCCAGCCAGGTGTGTTGGTGCAGGTTGAGGAGTACCAGGTTGAGACACTTTGCGTCGGTGTGGGGGTTATGCAAGATGCTGTGAAGGCGCTACGAAAGGCGCATCCTTACGAACAGGTTGTTGTGGAGGTGATTCAGCTGGTGCATATCGAGGATCTCGCTCGTGGGTAAAGGTAGGATTAGGTTTATTTTAATGGGATCTGCAATCGGTTCTGACGGGTTTACCATAGGATTGGAAGGTGGGTTTGGTGTGCCTTAGGTCGCATTTACGTGGATATTTGGGGACTTTAGGTGCCGGGAAGGTGACAGAAATGGTTTCGTCGAAGGAAGTACGGACAGAAGTATCGAGTAGGTCCATGCAGCCATGTGGCATGCATCGACAAATAAGGGCAACTTGACCCCAATGTGTCAGCCATCTGTCTCAGGGCCTGGCTTCTACCCTGCAAACTGGATTCAACGATCCCCATCCAAGACCAAACTGTTCATATTCTACATAGTATAGTAGATGGCTCGTTCACTAGATCCTAGAGGATTATTTTCCACTTCCCGTTGGAGTCCGAGTGGAAGAGCCTTGGCCTCATGGCGTGCCGAGATGCGTCGAAAAGCAGTGACTGACTAAGTCTTTCCCCACAGATACAGAAAAGAAACCAGTCAAATTCACTTCATGGCTGTGTCCCCCCGCTTAGGCCCAAGCCCAGTCTGACATAGGGTATCCAGATCGAATTTTTATGTACCCTGGAAAAGTCGCCTTTCAATTTCAACACCTTCGCGTTCTGTCAATATGGAAGATACGCTATTGGCCGTTTAAGACAATCTTCCCATTATGTTGATACATTGCACCAGCTCTCATTGCCGGTGTAAGTAGCCCACGGAGGCGATTCCCGTCTTCAATAAACCCCTTTTCTAAAAAGCTTTACTGTCCATGCTGTAGGTCGACCATGCGAGTTGTTCAATTGCCTTGACCAGTTACCTGAATATGGAACACCAATGACATAAGTTGTTGACGGGAAAGTCGTCTCCCGTTTTTATACTACCTACTGACCTGGGAGGAATTTTATCTTCCTATAGTGGGAATCCCTCAAATAGAAATTGAAAATTCCCGGGGGGAGCTATTTCTATACCGTAAAATGGTGCATAAACCTTAAAAGACCTGGTCTGTTAAAGGCATTTCTCATCGGTTTAGCTAGCCTAGTGGTGAAACGCAAGCAACCGTGATCCCTAACGATATTTAGATAATATTTACCCTCAAATGCAACTGTAGTGGCTCCTAGGAATTCATGTTTTGTGAGCATCAGGATCCTAGGGGTACTTGTGAAGTTCTAAAATTCCCAGGAGCAAGAAGAACAAACTCGCTTGTTCCTAGGATACTCCCATGGGTCCCCTGATAAGAGATATCGACCTCTGAAAAGCCATAGCCCTCAGAAGCAAGGTTTAGTCCAAGACAATTTCATGATTCAGTATTCCTTGATGGAGCGCTTAAACGAAACCCCATGATTCATAAGAGATATCATAGGCCAAGAGGACTGTAAGCCGCAACGGCACCATACGATAACAGTATCATACAGGATTATACCTGTTCATGTAACTCTCAGATTACAGGTGATCCAAGTATTGTGGCTTGTCTGTCTTAAAGCGGTGGCTGTGCAGGCTGGACAAAGCCCCTGTAATTACCTTGCATCGGTAAATAACAAGCGGCTGTATCGAATACGGGCCCAGAACATCACCTACTAAGCTGATGACCGAAATGGCCGGCTATTTATCAATCGAGTCTCAAGGCGTAATTGCACTTTCTGCGAAGTTTTATTTTCTGGTTTAATGTGTTTCAGAGATAATCCAAGCATATGGGAGTAGGTTGTCGGGCCTTGTCCATATATCCACCGTAAGGGGGTACAAGTTGAAGTCCAACTGGTTTTCAATGAGCTCGTTCATTCCTATGGATACTGCAAAATTAATTCCGATGATATGGCTTGGGTCCTAGTCTGCAAGAGCCTCAAGCCACACCATTCTAAACCTGTCATATGTAATCCAAAAGCACCGACCTGGCAAACATAGACAGTATAATAAGATAAACAAAAACTGTAGTCCAGATCTGCAATATGAAGCTGGAACGCCGAGGGCATAAGGTAGAATACGGCCTTTTGGTTGCCAAGTCCGAACAGCTTGAAATTGCCAGCGAACTACAGTGTCAATTTTTGTTGGTCATTATCAGGCGCGCTTCATGTCAGCGAAAGCGGAGACCCAATGGAGCGGATTGCCGTGAAGAGGTTGAGGATCACTTTGTACGCACAAGAATTGAGCGTAGAAAGCTATTCAGTTGATGTTGGGTTTGCTGGATGCGCATCTTCGCTCTAATAGACGAGCTCTTCCTGTTCTCTCTAATATCATGTGTCGACTGAAAGTTTTCAAGTCCTACAGCCGGAAGAAGCATGGTCGAATAAGTACGGGCCAGAGGCAAAAGGATGCCTATAAGTCAGAGTGGAATGATACAGACTGAATACTGGCAAGCGAGGCAGATTATTGTAGCATGGTCGATAGTCAGATTAGACACGTGCTCATTAGCGATAAAAGGGGCAAGGGCTCATTTTGATGCGTATTCGTGGCATCTTCAAACTTTCTCTTTCATTTCTAATACTCCACCTGGGGCCTTCTGAGTTTCCGAAGTAGTACTATTGTACCCGTATGAATCTCATCTAAATAAGTATCAGTTTAGGCCAATTTAGTGAAAGGTTCAGACGTCTCACAGCCATTGGCCTATGTCCGTGCCTGGCAAGATCGAGAAGAATGGGCATCACACTTACTTGCTATCGTTGGTCCAGCTCAACCGGGGGAAGCACGCCATACCAGATTTACTATTTGCGTCGGGGTAACTGACAAAATGAGCATGCGCAAGTAAAATGGGTTTTAGTACGTGTACTCAGATCAGGGAATTAAGCCAAGATCTGTTCTCTCTCAAAATTCGGTGGATTCCATGCTCTTAAAATAAGTCAGCCACAGGCCCCCTGTAAATTCACACCTTCCCCCTGGGTACAAGAATGAAAGTCGCGTACATCTTCCCATTTGACTCTTGACCATATATAACGAACTCGGAGCTCGGGCATATGCAGAAAACGGCATTGCAACTCTCATCGGATGTGAAATATTGGATTCGATCAAGTTGTCGGTTCTCTTTGCGGCATCAGACAATCTGCATAATAGTTAGGCTTTTACTCTGGCTGAGGGGTTGAAAAGAGACAGACCTGGATTACTGAAGTTGCTAAACTTATGAACAGATTTCATGAGGCCTTGAGGAGGGATCGGTGTTTCTTTATATACTTTGACTTTCAGCATTAGCGGTACCGGTTCTCGCGAATGGGGTACCAGCACTTGAGCTCCTAGGATCTATTTCTGTCTCGCCAACCACATTTGTGGCACGAAAGGTCTGAGACCTCCTAGGAAGTCATACCAGACTTCATAGGACGAGGTATTTTCTGATTGCTAGTTAGAGTATGTTAGGCAAATGAGGGGCCACAATTTACGTCGCGGGCGGCTAGATAATCCAATAGTCATGATCAATAAGTGTAGACTATTTTCGTGGACGTCGGATCGTCAGAGCTGAAGTCGTATTCCTAGGAGCAAGCGCAGGCAGCAAGAGCGATAATTCGTTGTTATTCAAGCGCAAAATGATTTAAAGAAAAAGGAAATGAAAAAGAAATCAATATCAAAAACTACAGTACTACTGTACAATCTCTTCTGTATCTGATTTCACCTGAGGACCGAGTAAGAGTTTCAAAGGACAAATTCACCACACCTGCGCACAAATCTACTTCATTCGATGATTCCCAGAAGGGCAAGCTATGGTCTCAGAAACCGCACTTAAGCCTCCATTAATGAAGCTGTCAACAAGAACAGGATTTTGATTCCCCAATATGAGGATGCATGACCTCAGAAGCTACATTTGGTTTCCTGGGCGCTATTTGGCCCTGAGAAGCGGCCACTGTGCTCCTGTAAGGCGTACAAACTGATCTTAATCAGTTTAATCACTTTGTTCTCTTTCATTGATTTTCAGGTTCTTTTTTTTTTTTTTTTTTTTTTTTTTTTTTTTTTTTTTTTTTTTGGTGACGCCAGACCTAATTTGGCTAGTCAAAGACACCCGTGAACTCAATTTAGAGGGGACCTCTAACATCGAGAGGGTCAATTACTCCTAGGAGCTAGACACTGGCTTTGGTCACGTGCATTCCAATCCCCCTCGCGCCTTTCGACGGAGAATCGCTTGACCTTTTCGTTGATTGAAGGGTGATTGAATCGGAAGCCACTACCAACGCTTAAATAAAGGGCTGTTTCTTCTTCATCACTCAAGGAAAAGAATTCATCATCTTAAACTTTGTGTCTTTTGAGCCTTTACCACCTACTCCATTCCGCTCGATAATCTAGCGACTCCTCGTCCTCTCCTCCACGAAGACATGACGTGCTCGGACGTGATCAGCGGTATTTCCGCTACTACCACCATCCTTCATGAGTCTATTAGGTCCTTGGATGATGCTTCTGCCACTAGCACGTTGCCTAAGAACCTGCGAACCGTGCGATGCCGACTTCCTATCATTGTTGATATTATTCAGACACTATTGGAGCACTCCGAGTCTGCAGATTCATTCTGCTGCTTGAGCCTAATTGTTGCTAATTGTAGCGGGCATGCTGCGAGGATGAAAAGAATTCTCGAACTCGTCTTTGATGGAGACGACACATGGGAAAAGCGATATGCCGAGGCCATCAGGACATTCGGTGACATAACAACGGTTGAATCGCTCCTGAAATTGATTGCTGAAGATATCCAGTCTCTTATCATGCACAACCCAGTTAGTGATGATCATTTGAAGCAAAAGTCCGATCTTGACGAGATCATCCATGAGATGAGATCACTCATGGCTTTCAGCTTTCAGATTCGCCGTGGGCTGTGTTTTGGTCGGGCGCCCTATCTAGCATCAGGGCACTTCGTTGGGCGCGAATCACAGCTTGATGAGATCATGCGCTTGGAATCGGGCCGTATGTCTCAGAAACTACATCGCCTGGTCTTTGGTGGCATTCGTGGAGTGGGCAAGACGCAACTTGCCATTGCCTACGGTCATCGCTTCTCCAATTATTATGAATCGTGCTTTTGGCTCGATGCATCATCAGAGAGTACGATGAACAAAAGCTTTCGAACTTTGGCCTCTCTCATATTTCAGTATCAAGACATTCGAGATCTTCACGAGAGGGACATCATGGTACGTGTACATGAGTGGCTATCTGACGCGACAAACACACGATGGCTTCTTGTGTTTGATGGATACAACAGTTTAGAGCATTTCGACATTGAGACATTCTACCCTCCAG